AGCTGAATGCAGACACGTTATTGTCTAGAGAGTTCAGGTGAACCACAGTGCACAGTTCATGCAGCTCATGAAGTGAGTGCTTGATAGTTATCATGAGAATCAAACCTCTTACATTAGATACGGGAAAAAATAAAGTGTGTGACTCTGTAATACTGAAGAAGAACCTTGCTCAAATTTCAATTAAAGACAAATTAGCTGTTTAAATCAACAAATGAATTCAATACAGAACCTTAATCGTTGTGCAATGTTTTTAAGCTTCATGTGAAGTCCAGTAACTTCCAGATTCTTCGGACCTGCTGTGAGCTCCGCTGCTTTCTGCTCCGCAGTAAACGGGCGCCTGCGAAGTGGACTGGCAAGTTGTTGTCCAATGGCGCCACCTGGCGACAGATAATGATATCGACTGCGAAATTCTGAAACCGTCATCGAGAGGTTGCGATCAGAGCTCACACATAAGGTAAAGTCAATGTGAACAACTAGACAAACAATTATGTATTAAAAAATACGAAATTTGGGTTGCTGTAATAAATATATGATTTATTTTGAACATATATATTTTGAATAAATATATGATTTATTATTTTTATTTTTATATTGAAACGTTATTAGTCCTGTGCATATACTTTTTACATACATAGACTATATATTTATCTGTAGATACGCACACACATCCCTGAGTGTGTTTTTATGATACTGTGTGGAATGTACGACGGGTAGTCAATATAAACCATTATTTAAAAAAAAAAAAAGAAAGTGTACAATAAATGTTTTTCCCGCTGCTGCCGAAACCCGGGATCGAACCAGGGACCTTTAGATCTTCAGTCTAACGCTCTCCCAACTGAGCTATTTCGGCGCTGTGGACTGGGGGTCACATTTAGCTTTTAATGAATGGACGATTACTACGATTTCACTTGCGCCCCAAATACGCCGTCAGACAGTTTTCCGCATGTGCCGATTGTAGCTACCAGACGTGTCGGTGTGTTTATCTAACTATGCTAGCGTCTGTGCTGAACCCACAGCGGCGTTTCATAACCAGTTCAAACTGCAGTCTAGCGACATCATCTGGTGACATTGAACAGCAGCGGGTAATCCACACAGGGCTCGGGTGACATGTAATGACCTTCTAGGAGAGTGTTTTTTCAAAATAATGTGCGCATAGGTTCAGAAAACAATCGATAGCTTCAGTATAAATGCTCTCTTTATGTCTCAGCAGTAATTGTAGACTAAAGTATTATTTCATAAAATGGATAGATACAGAGTTCAATCAGGTAAAAAAGTGGAAGTGGAAGAAAAAGCAGTGCCTTCAAGAAGGACAGATTACACACTGTCGCTCCACAGAATAGCTGTGTATAGAATACATATCTATACAATGTACAAAAATGTAACATACGTATGTTTTATTAACCAGGTTCTGGAAGAGCTTCACTGCCAGACACCCTTAGAACTGTAGCTTATCTTCCTTTTTCCTTTTGATGCAGTAGCACTGGTTATATGGTTACTTATTCCACCACCCCTACAGAATCTCTCTCTCTCTCTCTCTCTCTTTCTCTCTCTCTCTCTCTCTCTCTCTCTCTCTTCCCCCATCCTCCAAGGTGACTTTCCCCCTGCAGAGGCAGATGTCTTTGTTCTTTAGGCGAGTCTGGAGACTGGAAAAGAGAAGAGTGTGGCGAGAATAAAGGAATAGAGGGGGAGGGCTAGTGAGAAAAAAGGAGGAAAATGACAGGAACTGGAACGGATGGGATTGAAAAAGGGATGTTTGAGCAGAAAAAGTGAGCGTATGTGTGTTTGAAAGGAAAGCATGACAGTATTTACCTCGGTTACAGTGGGGAATTACCCCCCCCCTCGTTCTCATTTATTGACCTGTGAGACAGATCAGTACTGACAGTCCCCAGTTTGTTGTGCTCACATCATAATTGTTGACAAACAATAACGTAATCGTTATGTTCTTACCTTTGTTTAGCATTTCTTTATTGCTACTCACTGAACCCATCTGTTTATAAAGGACATGACTGTTGTTTGAAGTGTGTTGAAATTAAATGTATACATCTCTTTCATTTTCAGACCAGGGCCTGTATTCCTGAAGTGTTGATTTGGGATCTGTTCCCCTTAGTTAAGTCATAGTAAAAAAGGGAAGAATTTGATCCTTGATCAGCACTCCTACTCTGAGAAGCTTTGTAAATACAGGCCCATACAGGTTTTCATTTTTAGTGGTCAGGTCTTTAGGACAGTGAGACTGAAGTAATATTGAATGTGATAGTCGCTTTGCGATTGTAGGATGATCTGTGCATATTGATGTGTAGCAGGATTTATAGCCAGACTATTCAGTTTAAATAATTCACAGATATTTCAGACATGCATTCAAGATTTTTTTTTACTTCTACAAGCTTGTGCTCTGCCTTTCTTTGTGACTTTGGCATGAAGGTCACTCTCACAACACTTTGTTCATGATATACCTGTTGACTGATATACGGAGCCTGTAATGAATAAATTTTAATGCTGTAGCTCCTGTAGTTTCAGAGTTCCAGAAGCCTTCATTTGATATTCATTTAGAGTATCCTTAACCTCTAAAAGAGCTGGACTTGAGTCTCCTTTACCATGCATCAAATGAGTCTCGAAATGTCAGTGTATGTCATCAAACATTAATAGATGTAAAGGTTATTAAACTGCACCTGTGGAGTTCAGCATACATCACTAATAATGAGGACTGAGCACCTGCACTTTACTGTAGCTTTTATTTACATCAGTGTCCAATAAGTCTTTAAAGATCAATAGACGACTCGGAGAGAGAGAGAGAGAGAGAGAGAGAGAGAGAGAGAGAGAGAGAGAGAGAGAGAAAGAGAGAGAGAGAGATTAGAGAGGCTACCATTTTACTAATTAAAGGGACATCGGCTTACCTACAGAATTCGATCGTTGATTTTAGAACACAGACACTCACAGAGACACAGGAGAGTTTTAATTGGCCTCTTTGACTTTTATCAGTTGGGATGGGATTAGGTGAACCTTTACTGTAACAGGGACTGAGATGAACCTGAGCAGACAATATTCCTGAAAAAGGGGCGTAAAGCCTAAAGCTTGACAGTGTGAAATCTTAAGGATTTACAGCTTGAAAGCTCTGGCTCTGAATTTCAAAGAATAGTGAAGTATGCACTTAGGGGCATTATGCCTAGAGCTGTGTGTGCACCAACAAGCAAAGACAAGAACATCCCCTGCAAGCTCTAAATTGTTTCTTTATTGTGTGTTGTTTGGAGGTGGAATCAAAGTTTTGTGAAACAGTTTCTGCAGCCGAAGGGGGTAGACACTAGAATGACAATGTATTAAAAATTTGATATTTAAATGACTTCACAATCCCTGATTGTAAAGGAAATAACAGAATCAGAGATGCTAATTTGGCTAACAGCAAATGAAAACTAGTAGCCACCAATTAGCAAGACATCATTTATATCATTCTACTTGGGTGCCAATATGAGCAGCATTAGCGTTTTGGTCTGAATTTGGTTTCTTTAACCCCTTTTCCCAGTAACCATCAAAAACTGTTTTCATGGAGGGGGTCCCACAGTTGAACTATGCATTTTTTCTTCAACACTGATAGAATATGTTTCAGAGGAAATGTATATGATTTACAAAGCCAGAAGTGACTTGGATTTTCATCTTTGTAGGTAAGCAAGCATTACTTTGTTAAAATTCTTAATCTGAATCTTTTAAAATCTAATCTAAATCTTTTATCATGCCAATTGTAATATTGTGGCAGCTGCCACCTGCTCCAGTTCACAGAAGGGGCTCTAGAGTTGTGGTATGCAGAGCTGCAGCATGTGTCCTATGTAGTTCTGTCAAAGGGAAGTTAAATGTTGTTGTTTGTATTGTTAATATTGTTCTTTGGCTTAAAGTGTGTGTAGGTGTTATTTTGTGTTGGCCTGTGCGGTAGTTAGTGTGGGGTTGTGTCTTAACCATGGAGAGAAAATATATAGCTAGGAGTGACTGGCTTGCTACTCCAGTGGCTTTTTATGTGCCTTTTCTGCTGGTGTTAATTAAGAGCACTTCTTTTAGCATAAATCATGGCCTCTCTTTTGTCTCCTACAAAATATTTTTGTATCATGAAAGCTGCAGGTGTGCTGTCTGTTTTATGTAAAGTAAGGCTGTCTTTGTAGAGAGATGTGACTTATATGTTTACCCCTCCCCTTTCACCCCTCATTGCTCGCTAGCGGCTCAACACATATATAGTCATAGCATTTCACACACAGACAACCAAAAGAGTCCTAGCTTGTCTGATAACAGAGTCATGGGAAACATTATTATTTTTTTGATTGTATTAATTTAAAAAAATTGAATCGCTTTCCATTTTGCCAGCAAAATGGCCACTAGGCTACAGCAGGGTGCCCAGTCCCAGTCCTGGCGACCCCATGCTCTGCATGCTCTGCATTTTCACGTTTCCCTAGTCTGACTCAGTCAACGAGGACCTTGTTAATTAAGTCATGAGTTGAATAATGTGTGCTAAATGAGACAAAGCACAAAAATGTGCATAGTGTGGGGACACCAGGACTGGGATTGGAAACCACTGGGCTATGGTAACTGAGGTCAAATCAGTTGCAGATCTGGTCAACTTTTGGCGCTCTAACTTACTTTGCATGAGATGCATTTTCCTTGGCGTGTGCAGAACAGCAAATGCCCTTTTTATGGATGCATATTTGCATGTATTAATTAGCATTGTTGGGTATGAGTGTTTATCCATGCATAAGCATTCACAGACACAATGTGAGTGTATGTAAGCGTGCAGGTCCACACATCCATATGTAATTCGTATTTAACACACGAGTTAAAACATAACAGCAACAAACAAGGGACTATATCTGTTTATTTATAGAATTTGGTCTTATTGCTCATCTATTGTAAAATGCACAATGACCACAAATGAATAGAAATAATTTAGAACACTGACTATATGTACACACATGGCACACAAAGTAAAATAAATAGATTTAGACCTTGTTGCAGTTATTTTTCCAAAGTCAGCTGCAAACCACAGATATTCATCATAATTTATAATATTATTTACATCCCTGATCATGTACATAAATAAACACAGTAAATCTATTGCACTCTATCAGTAAGAAGGGCACAGTAAGTACAAGATTTATGCCATTTATGTATATATAACGTGAATAAATGCTTCAAACCACATTGTATAATGTCAGTTTAAAATTAATCTGCATGATGTCTTTCATGCATACCCTGGTTTATGAAATTATTGCCTACAATCTCTTATACACTCACTCGCTGACACACTTGCTTAGTTTCTAGCACCACAACAGTAAATCTGATCTACGTGTTCATGGTTAATTAGACAGTGCCCTGTGGTTTTCTCTGAGATTAGCTCAGTGTGCTTTGGAACGTGCGCTTCTTATTTAACTGTGTACTGAATAAATGACATGCAAAATCAGACGATTTCTCCTTTTTGCTCCTGTGTGTTCTGTACCTCTGTTATACTTACACTCATACATATCCCACACACACAATCACATGGACTCTCACTCCCTGGTGGCCTCCGTTAGACAGCGGTCAGTGGCGTCGCTGCACTCTGCCCTGTGCTTACGCCGGTTCCTGGTATTGGTCCGAATGAGCGTATGTGTGTTGTTTGTGCGTAGCCTGCGGAGACGTGTGTGCAGAACTTTGCGCAGTTTCTGCCGTGTGAATGCGTACAGCAGTGGATGCAGCACCACTGTCCAATAGGCAAGCACCAGGAAACATAGCCTCAGGCGCTCCAGCCAATCAGAGGGTCCAATGGCTAGCAGAAGAAGGGGTGTAACAGAGAGAGGTGCCCAGCACAGTAGGAAAGAGAGGATGATGATGACGGACATGCGGAAGACACGTTTCTGCCGCTCCCGCCGGTCCCTGTGACGTCTCACAGCACGGCGCAAAGCCAAGATGGCTGACACTGAGGCACCAACACCAACACTTGGAGGGTTATGCGCACGAGCAGGACTTAATGGTGTGGTTACATGAGATACAGTAGGAGTGGGGCTCAAAGACGTGACTATGGTGGATGAGGGGTTAGGGGTAAGAGGAGAGGTTATAGTGGCAATAGCTGAGCTAGGGCTTAGAGGTGTAGCAGTGATGGATATAGTTGGATTGGAGTTTAAAGGTGAGGTTATAGTGAATGCAGCTGGGTTGGGGTTAAGAGGTGAGGCTGTAGTGGATGTAACTGGGATAGGGTTAAGGGGTGTAGCTATGGTGAATATAGCTGTGTTTGAGTTTAGCGGCATGGCTATGGTGGATATAGCTGTGTTGGAGTTAAATGGTGTGGTTATGGAGGATGTAGTTAGGTTAGGGTTTAGAGTTGTGGTTATGGTGGGTAGTGTAGGGCTAGGACTCAAGGGTGTTGATACCAAAGATAAGCCTACAGTAGGGGTCGGACTTAAGGGTGTGGTCACTATGGATATAGTGGGGGTGGGACTCAGCGGAGTGTTCACCGAGGGTGTGTTGGTCTCCGTGTTGATGGTTATTGTGGTAATGGTGTCCGAGGCCACTAGCGGACCAGTGGAGAGAGGAGGAGGGGAGATGGGTGTAGTCCTTGTTCTGTGATCTGGTGACTTCACTGATCTTTTCCTTCGTTGCCAGAGTCGCTGGGCAGGCCGCCGGGCATCCCGCTGAGATCTGGGTGGGTGTCCGATGCGAATGCGCAGGGCTTGCAGGATGCGAGAGTATGTAAACAGCATCACGGCCAAAGAGCACAGGAACACAGGCACCTGCAGCAAGAGGTGAGCTTGCAGAGTGCCTGCCCATTCTGAGCACAACACTGTGCTGTTAGCATGAACAGCCACTTCTGCCGACAGACCAGACACAAACCCTGCCTCAACAAACGGTAGGAGGGGCACAGTTAAAGACACCACCCACACTCCAGTCAGCAAAAAGGCTGCTCTTCGTGGCGTAAGCAGACGATTGGCTGGCCGGACGCTGATGTCGTAGCGATCGAGGCTGATGAGCAGCAGGTTGAGTGCCGTTCCCACGCTGGCGAAGGTGGCCGCTGATTCATGGAGGCAGCAGAGCAGGGTGTGGTGAGGGATGGAGGCCCCGCCCAGAAGGAGGAGTGTGGCAGTGACGGGCAAGCAGAAGAGGCAGAGCAAAAGGTCAAGTGTGTGCAAACTGAGTGTGACGGCATGGCTCACAGATTCCAGAAGGCTGCAGTGACCGCAGTATAACACCAGCACTGTCAGGTTCCCGCCCACTCCCAACAGCAACTCTAGTAGCAGCACGGCACTCACTGTTGCCCGGAAGCCGAGCCACGCCCCCTCCTGTTCAGCCAGCCCCGCCCCCACACCATCACTTGCCTGTAGGAGTGGGAGTCCAGGACCCTCAGTGATGCTGCCATCTGTCTCCATGGAAACCATCATGCACCATCAAGCACATTGCCAACCCCGCCCATCTGTCATGCTCCGCCTACTCATGCACCTTCTTGGAGCTTGAAGTGGCTTTACTGGTTGACAGGCCTAAGAAAAAAAGGAGAAAATAAGTCCTAACAGCATGATTTAAAGAGCTAATATCCTGAAAAGCTGGATCAAAATGAGGTTTCTTTGCTTTTTGCACTCTGAAAAGCCTAGAAAATACTGTTAAAATGAAAAATGCATGCAGTGCACCATTTCCCAGTGTTACTGGTGAAAAATCATGACTTGTCTTACAAGAGTTTCAGAAATAGCTCCAGTTATGATGTAAATCCTGGGACTCATTAGAATAGACCAACTTTATAAGACCAGTTACAATATTGCCTCCATTTACATATCGCTGTGTCAAATGATTGCATACTACAGCCAGAAATGTATATTTTGCTGGCAAGTGTAGTCCATGAGTAAGTAAGGGTTTGTTCAATGTGCCCGGGTCAGCACAATATAATCATATTGTTGAATTATATTGCTAATTATGAAGTCTGTTGTTTGCTGAATCAGATGTGTTAGAGCAGGAAAAAAAATTAAATGATGCTATCATAGTGGCTGATGCTGGAGTTGGACATCATGGTGTTTGTGCATATTCCAGAATTAAGTCTGTTTATTGTAATAATCCCTGATTGTGTGGCACATAGGCTTCACATATAAAAAACAGTTTGCAATAAGAGAAACGTGTTTGCAAACTTTGTGTTACAGATGGGACACTTCACTCCATTCAGTTGTTCTGCCTGGGGGCTTCACCCTGAGTTTTGTTAGCCAATCAGAGAAATGGCTCATGAATATGTGTAATGCAAGTACATTGCCATAACATGCATGAATAGGCTGCAGGAAACAATTTGAAAGAAATGAAAAAATAAGGGTCCCTCAACAAAGTAGTAGTTTGATTTCACACAGCCTGACATTGTTAATAAAATAATCTTTTCTCATGTAAATGTTGCATTTGAGAAGATACATATCTTTTGGTATATTTTGAGCAATCACATAGAACTTTTAAAAAATAATAACCACTCTGCAATGGAACATATCTAAAAAACACAAAAGCAATTCAGTGTTCCCAAGTGGAATGACAGACACACAAAGACATACACTCAGCAAATGTGTGCTGAATCTTAAGTGAGAGTCATCTTTAATTCTGACAGATGTAATGAGATATTGATTTGTCAGGGATAATATTATAAAGATGAGAAGTGTGTAGTACATGTGACCACAGCTAGTATTTACTGGTGTCCAACTTTAATAGGTCCATGAAAACCACTCAAATTATTCTGTTTATGGACCATTCTGCTGAAGTAGTTCAAACTGCAGTCCCACAGTGAAGAAAAAAAATTAACAATTAATATTCGGACTTTAGATATTTACAAGGATTATGTTATGATCTGTTTAAACCCATTCACTCAGGCATTCACTGAGACAGTAATAAGCTAAATATATACAAAATCATCATTTTTTGGGAGTTTCTATAGAGAGGTGTCTGTCTCAAACCCTAACCCCTGAATTTCAACTTGTGAAAAAATATTTAGATCACATTGATTCATTTTAAAGTGAAGAAGAAATATTAAAATTTATCAAGAATTTAGTTTTTAAATACAAAACTTTATTTTAAAAAAATTATGTTCCATGTTTTTATGTCACTAATGAAATACAAAGAGTCTTAGTCCATAGACAGAGCCTTATTTTAGCCACACCCCTGCATTTTAGAGCAGGAAGTGAGACTGCATCCCTGTCCCTCATTGCCTAATTCCCTGAATTGTTATTTCAAAGTAAATGCGTCCCAAAGTCTCCCAGAGAAAATCAGTGTATATCCTTGAGAATTGTCACTACAGAAACACATATTGTCTGCAATTATATAAACTGTTTTTGTGTTTTTTGTGTGTAGAAATGTTTAAAGCTGTGTTTGCTGGTCATGTACTGGCTATTAGCTAAAATTGTCACTCCTGAAACATTTGGCAATGTTTTGGCAGTGATAACTGTATGGGTAGTGACAAAAAGGAATATTCAGTAATTTGTTTTACTATTAATAAACATAATCAAGGTATAGGGTCACTGAAAGCAAAATAATTTTAGTTTAAAGTCCAAGTAAAAAGTCACAAATGTTTTTTGATTGCTGACTTTAAACCAGCTAGATAGAATGATCCTTATATATGTTTATACATATATTCCTTAAAACACATAAAACTGTGCTTTTGTATTAGGGGGTATGATTACCTACAGTATATTATCTGACACTGTATGACTATATTTAGTTAAGATTTATACTGCAAATTTATGTAAAATAAGATTAAGGTTAACAAGTGCAGAGCTGCTTCATTTAGAAAATTATGCAATTTGCGTAGATCACACAAAAGTGACTTAAAATTATGATTACTGTTCTGACAGTTGTAAATCAGCTGGAACTGGATGAAAATATGTGGGTTCAAAATCATGGCAGCCCATGCCAAAATAACCCTCTAGACAAATAAATAAATAAATAAGTTTGACTGGGGGCTGATCCCATTTCTATGATGGCTGTTACTATGGCAACTGGTCTGCGGGTTTAAGTGTGCGGTCGAAAATGTAAAAAAGAGAGACTATCTGTGTGTGTGTGCATGTGTGCGAAGTGCTCAGCCTCAGACATTGCCTTTTTAGCACAGCTGTGACACTGACCCCGGCTAGAGAGATTGAAGTTTTATGAAAGAGTGAGAAAGAACGGGTTTGGGACAGTACAGCACTGCCGCTACTGTGCTGATTAGAACAGGTCATTGACGAGTGCCAACGTGGGACAGAATTTTGTGCTGGTTCGGTTTCTTTAAAAAATAGTCCAAATCACTAGAATCTAACAATCTAATATACAGTATATACACTATAAGTATAATATAAGTATACACTATAATGTATGTTCAAAAGTGTCCAGACACTTAATCAGAGAATTCAGCAGATACGTCAAGGTGTATCAACTGCTGACACATCTGTTCAATTGCACACACACGGCTTATGTAATCTCCATAGAATAGTGTCGCTAATACAATGGGACGCCCTGTAGCAGCCACACATGAGGTTAACCATGCCCAATGTCAAGCTTCAGCTGGAAGGGTATAGAGCTCCCGAGCTCTGTGGAACAAGTGATGGAGCTCCATCCAACATCTTTGGGATGAAGTTTAAAGGAGTGGAGTTTGATCCAGAGCTAATCATCAAACCTCAGTACCTGATCTCATTCTTGTGGCTGAATGCAATCAAATCCTCACAGCAATGTTCCAACATCTGGTGTAAAGCCCATCTCAGAAGAGTAGGACAAACTCTGTATTTAGACCATTGATTTTGTAAGAAACGTTGGTTGAGCAGGTGTCTACAAACTTTTGGAGACGCAGTGTATATACATAAACACACAGTGTGAGGATGCTCAGACAGGTACAGGTAGAAAGATAAATAGAGAGAGACTGAGGGAGCATCAGCTGAGAGATAGAAAAAACTACACAGAAGCAAAAACAAGATTGATCAAAGTCAATAATGGTAGGCACCAGGGAAGAATGAATGAGAGAGAGAGAGAGAGAGAAGTGGGAGGTGCAGGTGCATGCTGAGTTGCAAAATTGCTGGAGGGAAATGTTTGTATCTCCTTCTCTCCATCCGTCATTCTGCTTCATCTCTCCATCCTTCCCTCTCCCTTCTGTAAACCGTTACTCACCACATCTCATCCCTCTGTCATGCATTTTTTGCACACTCATTTTTAAAAAGGAGAGATGACGCTGTATAAAGACACCGTATGTAACCCATACATACAAAAATACAGAGACCGCATTTAGTAAATATTAAATCTGTAAAACTAACTTTATATGAAGTTTAAGAAGTGCTGAGTTCTTTTGCCTCTCCATAACACTCCTAATATCTCCCTCCGGCTCTATTAACTTATCCCTCCCTCTGCGCTCTCTCTCTCTCTCTCTCTCTCTCTCTCTCTCTCTCTCTCTCTGTCCCTCTGTCTCTTTCTCTCTATCTCTCTCTCTCATATTAAGCTCATCTCTTTAGAACGGGGTCACATAATTGGAAAAAGGCACTCACACTGGAATAAAAAAAATAGATGAAGTCACGTGCTTGTGTGTGTGTTCTCCAAGCATGTGTGTGAGACAGTAGCTTATGTATCTAGGCTATGCAGGCTCTTATCATGATTATCATGATCATGATGGTAATGATGATGATACTTTCGAAAAATGAGAACTGGATAAACTGCCTCAGGCTAACAAATGGAAACTAGAAGGCATTAAAAAAACAAGCAGCCCCTGAATTCAAACCCATAATAAACGCGTCCATTCTGTAACAGTAGTGGCACTTTAACACGGGATACTGATGAATAGGCTAGTCCTGAATTTCTCTGGTAATATTTCTCCCGAGTCACATCTGGAAACTGCAGTAGCACATCTGGCGTCTGCACTGTGACAGTATCCAGTAAAGGAATCATAACGGACCTGCTGGTGGTCGCCCATCGATGAAGTGCTCGGACTCTGCAGAGTCCAGCTGCTCCATCACCTGCTTCCCTGCTCTGGCCTTCACCCTGACCGGTCCGTTTGGCCATCAGAAAGTGATGTACCGTGAAAGCGTAAAGAAACGGAAACACCATCGAGTGAAAGAGCTGCTTTACTCACCTCAGCCTCGCGCGCAGGGATTCCCGCGACATTCCACTGCGGTGTGTGTGTGTGTGAGAGTGAGTGAGTGACTGAGTGAGCGAGTGAGCGCGAGCCTCCGCTGGGCTTGGGGGAGCGCGCGCTGTCAGAGCGGGACGGGACGTGAGCGGAATGGGCGCGCGCGCGAGCAGAGGGAGCCCCGTGCTGTGAGGGACAGTGAAGAGGCTAACGCTCACACTCACTATCCTCCGTAGCGGTCTATTACAGCTGCTGCTGCACCAAACTCTCTACTCTGGCGTTCAAACGCTACACACACACACACACACACACACACACACACGGTCAGCTGCACCGCTTTCAAACGCAGAAGCACGTGGACATGCACAAAAGCACACATAAACACAAACACACAAGTATTCCTATCTTCATCGGTTATTTTCATTACTATCATTTATTACCAAACGGGCTGGGCCTACATGTTCCCCACGACATCAACATATTCATGTCTTTCTCTCAATCTGAGATCTGAGGATGTTTGCTCCCATAAAGAGCTGAATGCATTTAGAAAATGAATGTCAAAGGCAGATTAGATTTGAAAGGTATCTTTTATTCTAATCTGTCAGACGGTAGTACATGATGGATGTGACATGTAGAGGAAGATCTGCATGTAAATTCACATTATATACCTTATTGTAAACAAGGCAGAGACCACCCTTCACTTATTTAATTTACCAGGCAAAACTGACTTCATGTTCAAGCTATTCATTTTTCAGCAACAGGGAAAAGGCACAAAACATATATTTAACAAGTTACACTAAAGCTTCAACGATTCTCTATATATACTTCTCTCTATATATTTTTCACACATCCAAAGTTCAGTTTCATAAATTGGTTGCATTTTCTGCTTCTCACAATCAAAGTAATCCCAAACACATTCAGTGATGTTGAACTCTTGCATGGCCAGTTCATTCTGCACACCAGCTTTTTTGATTTGCAAAAAAATCTTTTTCTCTGTAATGGCTTCTTAAGAGCTGCACATTATTTTAGCCCTATAGTACTGAGTGGTATTCTCACAGTTTAAGGAGGGACAGAAACACCTGTAGATTTGTTCAGATCTGAAGCAGAAGTGGAGCTTGATTTTCTTCTACCAGGTCTTGTTTTAACTCCAGTTTTGGAAACTCCTGATTTTTTCACTTATTTGCCTTTGACTTTTATTTGACTTTCTTATACAAGTGGATTATTTTATATCTAATCTCCTCCTGAAAAATGAATAACTTTAAATAAACGAAGAGTGGTTGTTGGATATACATATCCAACAACCGAATATCCAACAGCCTGACTGATCTTATTTATTGGATTTATTGCAATCTGGCCAGTCTGCTGGAAAGACAATCAATACTGCCTAATTTGCCATGTAATGTGTATTTAATAACTCTTATTGCCTATGGACTGTCCCAAATTAGCATACATGAATTCAAGTTTCCCCAGGTTTTACTTGGAGACAGTCAGTGCATTGTCATTATTTGTGGCAGTGTGATTTTTTGTTAAGAAGGTGTGAGATGTTAGCTCACTGTAATAGCGTTCAATGCGTCTTCATTTCGCTATCAGGCATAACCACTCTTTCACACTGCCCACGAGGTGGAACGGATTTGTGTGAGCACGGTCTGTGCACGGAAACAGACCTTATCTCACACACCCCCTGAGTGTTTCTTCAGAGGGAAGTGTTACAGCTGGGATTCGGCTTCACTAAGACATTTTACATCTTTGGCTGCGAGGGAGATACGGCCATCTATTCGTACCAAAAGGTTAAGAGCATCTAAATGTTTGAAAGGAAAATAACTTCTGGCACCAGGGAGAAACATGGACACAGAAGTGTCTGACCCTTACCTACTGACTGGTAGTGTTCTTAAGTTCCACTGGGTTAAATGGAGCAAGTAGCAAAAAAGCCATGTGAACAGAAATCTAATTTTTGAATTGAGAGTTTACTGTAGAAAAGTGGTCACTGTGTTTAAAAAAAAAGTCTAACTCCAGCTCAGTTTCAACAGCATGCAGGCCCACATTTCTAAGTCCTGCTGAATAACTACCGTGCTTGCTGCCCTACATTTCCCAGACAATTCTCATAGGTAGCTCAGTCAAAAATAGTTATTTTAATAGAGTGTGACATGGAAAAAAAACCATAGCCATCCACAGTGACTCAGTACTGAGACATGTGAAAGTACATTCCATAGAAAGTAGGCAAAGTAATCATCAAAAATTTAGCAGTAATCAGCAAAAAAAGTCTTCTGTTTGTGAGAGACAATCAGTGTTAGTAAAACTCTCAGTAAAATCTCACCACTCATAAGCAGGCACCTCAAGTGAAAAGATGAAATGACGAATCCATATGAATACATATGAGTAGCTATGAATATGAAAATTATGTTTGAGTGACAGCTCTGGGGTAGCAGCCTAATTATTCTAATGCATTGCAATGAGATGGGGGAAAGTCATCTCTGACAAAGCTAACATAATGTATAAATGGGGCAGGCACATAACATATAATTTAATAAATAAGGAAGAGAGATAGAGATTGAAAACAATAGAGCTAATAAAGTGTGCAGTTTCTGTCTACAGTGGGCTGCTGCCTTTTAAATAGGACTTGAGTCAGATTACGAAAGCAGGAATTCTAACTGATACAGCAAATACATGTTGGCTGAGTGCTGATGTGTGCATCACACACAAAAACACCCATAAGTGGTATTGCAGTAGGTGGGGTGGTTTGGTGAGGTCACTGGCAGCTGACTCCCTTCACACTGTCAAGTGTCTTTTTACCACACATTAAAGACAGTTTAAAGTAATTTAGAAAATAAACGCGTACATGTATCTGATGAGATCTTTAATCTGCTTGACATAACTTTAAGGTTTATTAGAATCAGTTTACATGCTTTTACAGTATGTGTGCTCTTTCACCAGACAAAAAATAAACATGGAATATGTCACAGGATTGAACTGCTACGTATACTGGATCAAGCTATTTTTATGTAATTGTAGAATTTGAATGACATGTATTCATGAGTCCAGAACAGGTAAACAAACTGAAATGTTTAATCATCATTTATCAAATACAAAAGGACATTGTCAAACACACATTATAAATATGTCTGAAAAATAGCACCATTCTTTTTTAAAGTAAACATGCATTGATCATTTAAGAAATGTTCCTTTTAGGCTCCAAGCTGAAAAAATACAAATCTCTATTTACAGTGCTGCCCGACACAGCAGAGACTGACTGTGTACTAAAAATAGCAGCTGAGAAATGGCAGTCATGATTCTACACATGTAAGCAGGCCGACCTTTGCTTCTGACAAAATATATAGTTGCAGGTAAGGGTGTATGAACATTTTTTGGCTATACCAACAGAAACCAAAACTACAGTTATAAACAGATATAAATAATATATGCACTCAGACAGGGGTTGTTTTAGGCAGTTAATGCCAGTTAATGCAAAAAAAAAAAAACAACTACTCATGGAGCTCTTTTGTGAAAGTAGATCTCAATGTTATACATTTGATACACTGATAATAGCACTGTTGTTGCAGTCTTTAACATTTTGTATTAGATAGACAAATACAGGTATAACACTGCATGGGGTAAAACTAGCTGCTCCATCAAATGTCACTCAGAGCTTGTAGCTGTTACCAGACAGTGATGTGGTACCTGTTTTTCTTATGATATAAGAGGAAACTGGCTCCACATCCAGACAGTCAGTAAGGTGCTGATAGTGATTAACACATGCAACATTCTAGCATATTCTACAGCAGTGTTTCTCAAACTGGTTCTCATGGCCCCACACACAATCCATAATTTTGCTCCTAATTAGCTCACAATGCATAGGAATAGATCTAAATGTGGACCTTCTGTGGTGCCCTGAGAACCAGTTTGAGAAGTACTGCTCTGGAGTGCACCAAAAAGCAGGTTAATAGACCGTTAGGATTTATGGATCCTACTTCATGTCACATCTCTTAGCCCTTGAGTAGCAATATCACAAACTGTCATAACAATTAAGACATTTCTAACAGAGCTTTGCCCTTTTTCCATTAAGCCCGGATTTATATTAGTGGTATATATAACTGGCAGAAGTTGGCTTTGTGTAAACAAGCATATTGGCCCTAAATGTTACACACAACCTAGAATTCATAATGATACTTATATGGTCCTTTTAAGCATATCTTTTGCAGGGTACCATACTTTTACCAGGGTAACATTTAATTGTCTGTGTAGCTTGAGAACACTGTTCCATGTATTGAGAACACATGACCACAGTTCCGCTAATTTTATCCACTAGTCCAAAGATTTCCTGCAATAAACATATGGCTTGAAAACAATTTTGTCTGTATATTATTTAAGCTCCATGTGTCTAAAAAATGGCAAATGATATCAGCAATGCTTGGAATGTGATATAGGATGAACTGAAGTTATGTAACAGCTTCTTGATACACACAATAATAAATATGATATAGACTGTCCAGCCAATGATGGACATACCTATTCAGAAGCATTAGATGAATATGATGAGAATACTGAACACTGATTCTGTGCTGGAGAGTTTGTAATACAGGCTTTATTGTCCACTGTTCAAACCGACAGCAGCTGTAACACAGATCAGACAGGAATTATGCATGGTTGTGTGCTTTATTTTTATGTTCTGAAATCTTTGTTTATCAGGTTTTGTGTGTACCTTCTCTCCGTCATAGGCAGTGTTGTTCACACTCCTCTTTGTGTGTGTAGCGGTTAGCATTTCCTCCACAGCCACTGTAGATAAAGGGTCTACAGACGCCCACCTCAGAATTAAAGTACCAGCGCAGCGTATATCTGGAACATTCACCCTCATCCAGTGGCGACAAACACGCATCTATTGTGCACACAAACAAACAACAGAAATGCACAGCATAAGCTGATAGTAGGCTTAGAGAGAGGAGGACAGAGAAACAGTCATGCTTTAATAACTTCAGTATTTGGGGATATATGGTATTCATCAGACTTGTGAAATTCAGTATTCACATTTCCTGAAGATTTATTGATGTTAGTGTGCAGTAGTTATTCTGCATTAAGAATCAGGCTTACTTAGGGGAGGGTAATATACTATGCTTCAAGGCATTTTCACAATACACACTGTGCATCACAATATTCAGCTTTTCTGAAGTTAGAAAATTAAGTTAATAAATAAGTTAGAACAATAAAAAAGAACCAGTAGTACAACATGTGAAAATAGTCTATAAAAACTACAAAAATACAATCATTTTTACTCAATTTTTCACACAGTGCACTGCAACAAAAACAATTAAACTAATTGTGCTCTCTTTGAAATGAAACATGACATTTTTCAGTGTTCTGAAAGTATTGATGTTATCCACAACATAAAAGCACACTGTAAAGCTTATTGTGACATGAAGTGTCCTTGAGCATGATAAAAAATATATTTCCCACCCCTAGGCCCACTGGTAATGAGATTTGTTTTAAAGAAAACAGCAGGGTTTTCAAATTACAGTGGCCTGAACAGAAATACACAAAAAACTAACACAATTGCAGAGTGCATGCGCATGCTTTACAGAAATCAAAGCACAAATTTCCAGCATGAAAACTGGATGACATGTGGCCAAAAAGCATGAAAAAACTATCAAATATCAATGTTGCAACATTTTTATGGTTCTTATGTTGAAAACTGGAATGACGTCTCTGCTACAATTACTACAGTAATTTTCTTCCTTTCTCACATTCAGTTTTAAGACTTAACTTAAGGCTGAAATTACAGCGAACAGATGCTGAGGAGAGATGCATGCACATCCAAGCCTCTATCCAGCCACCCATGCACACATTCACCTGCCTGTGCATCCCTCATTTTGCCTAAATTTTTCCATTATTTTGCCAGTTCCTTGTAGCTAGCACTTATAAATGACAGCTGCACTGTGTGTGAACCATAAGGCCAAAAGTCTTTGTATGTCATCAATTCTAATGTAGTTCATAATTACTACTGTAGCTTATTTTCCAGGCATTCTATAATAGTTAGTGAGGATATCAGTAAAGCTTCAGTTCCCAGCAAACCCTTAACATGCTTAGTATGTTCATGCTCCGGTGCACAACCCTTCAAGAACCGTAACACAACAAAGGCCAGAGCTTACCTTCACCTTTAATCTCTCTTTTCTCTCTCACTGCATTTAATTCAACAACTCTGGTGGCCTTACCTGCCGAAATATTCATATTATGCCATTCTATGTGTGTATGAGTTCACATAGTAATACACTAATTTGCAGACTGTTCTGTTCACACACACCATGCACAAAGACAAACACCCAAACAACAATCTCATCTTTTGGTATAAGGATTGTCGTACCTTGGCTCTGGTTGACTGGGGGGAGTAATATCAACAATTTCTTCCATGGGGTCATCATAGCTCTCTATGGAGTAAATATGCTCATAGTCGGGGTCATTTGTGTTAACCACGACACGCAATTCATGACCTGAAAACAAACAAACACATGCACCATACACGCAAAAATAAATATTCATAATTGTTTGGAAATGTGTTTGTAAAGAGTTTTTAAAATCTAAAATCCTTAAAGCATTAAAGGAATTGTTTGACCAGAAATCAAACATACATGATTTTTTATTCAAGCATGGCTGATATAACAAGATGAAGTCTGCAGTTCATACATGGCTTCTGTAGGTTTGTACCAGACCTAAAATAGCCCCCAATATAGACAGGGGGCTATATAAAAATGTAGATGATTGGCAGGATTTTGAATGATTATAAAATATTATTTTTAATCCTGTGAACCATAGACTTCATTCAGAATTCAGTTATTAGCTTTAAGACTTAATACTCAGTAATTGCTTTGAAACTATTATGTAACATATATAGACATGAGACTGAAGAACTGAAGAGTTGCTGGCATTTTTAGAACATGCTAAAGATTTTTATCACAAACAGATTTTTAATTGTGGAACTATAACTACATAGAAAGTGATATATTTGTTTGCTTTGTTAAATGCTTAATAGCCTCTTGTTATCATGATTTGCCTTGTAGCTCTGGGACAAAACTACACATGTATGAACACAAAATGCAAAGCGAATAGCACGCAAGTGGAAAATCATGTAAATTTGAGTATTCCTTTAATTGAATGAGTATGGGACTGGAGAATGTTAAATACAAACACTGTATTTAACATGTCTCATGGGAGTTAATTACTTTCAGAGACATAATGGAGTACAAAGCTTGCACAATAATCACAGGACAAATATCAGCAAGAAGTTAACTACACAGAAGAGAGAAGAATAACATGAAGAGGAGGGACAGAAAGATGAGGGAATGATGGACAAAAAGACTCACCCTCCTCGTCCCCTCGGCCTAGTGAGCGCTCAGGGGACGTGGAGGAGCGACCTCGGAAAGACTGCACTGACGTATGGGCCTGAATTTCTCCAACACCTGACAACACGCCCACAAGAAAATCACACACACAGGCCAGCTAAACCCATCAGTGAACACATACTCCTACACACTTACTGACACACGTCACACCCCGGTGACATGCACACTCAAACTCCACATTCAGTAGACCATGCATTACCTCCCAACAGCATAATCAAATATACTGGCTAACACAAACAAACTTTAGATGAAGCAACTGGTCCCACACTTATGTAGAAGAGTGAGTCAGATATGTTGTTTGTTTTATTTGTTATGAAAAACTCTTTGTTATGAGAAGACCTAACCTGCACATATGAACACAATGCTGGGAAAGCTGATGCATGCTCAGTCTACCGGCTTTGTTAACATAATATTGTATGTAACATCAAATATTGTTTACAAAATGTGTTGTATATTACTAACACTAGGTATGTTTCCATCAGCTTTCTGCATAAATTGTAAGCGCTAAAATGTAAATGCATAAAACATTTCCATCAAACTGACTTTAAGTGATAAAATTGCTTTTTGTAATGATGTCATTTCCTGAGAAAAACTGTTGTCATACAGGTTTTGGTTTATTGATTTAAAAAATGTTGTGTTTGAAATGTTTGCATCTGTAATTCATGTTGCAATTTTGTGTACCTTTAGCTTCTCTGACATCCCCATGACCTAATGATAAGGACATTGTGTTTATTTTATTTTTTATTTTATTATAATTTTTCCCACTGCAACTGTTATGTGAGAGATTGACCATGTAAAGTTGTTTAAGCGCTTTCCATTTAGTAATGCTGTAGCCTTTTCTTTTGTTTCTTGAAAGTAGCACGGTAAAAAACATTTACTTTGTAGCTTTTTGCAACATTTCCGGTATCAACAGTCAATTTTTACTGCTAAAGCTGAACGGATAAAAGGTGCTTTGTCGACATTCCTTAAATATTTCCAAGAATTTCTGTTCCCTAGCCTACATCGGTCAACCTTCTGAAGTATTCAAAAATATTCATAAAATTTTCTGCTTCATGTTCTTGTGCTTCATCTTGTAGGACCTTTTGCACCTTTTCACATATTGCACCTTTAAAACAGAAGGAAATCAACCTGTGTTCCATAATGGTTTCTGTGCTAAGTGATTAGAATGAATTCTAATTTTAATTGCAGTAGTGTCGTGATACAATGAAAGTGTATTGTCACTGAACGTACCTCCACAGGCTTCAGAGAGGAATATGAAGAGACAGAGAATAACATAATATTAAAAAGGTTACAATATATGGCAGTACTTGTTATTATCTTGAAAGGAACAGAAGATTAATACAAATTGGTACATGTTGGATGCACCATGTATTAAAATACACACTCACCACAGTGCTGGTTCATCTCAGATCTAACAAAAGCACGAATCTCATCCTCCTAAAGAGGATAAGAGACAGGTTGAGTAATAAAATGGAAGAATGAGCAGAAGGAGTACACAAGAAGTGGAGATGAGTGTGTTACAGTGTATTTTCTGACCGTCATGCCTGGCTCTCCTCTGTCTCCTTTAGCTCCATCAAGGCCTACTTCTCCCTGACACAGACAAGAATGAGACATGAGTGAGAAAGGGATCCTTTTGGAAAACAAATACATGGAAATGTTGTTTTTTCTATATGTGAAATACATATCGCACACACTGTATTTCAATTTAAATGCATTCCAAACACTAAACCCTTAAACAAAAGGCATTTCTGGCCATTTACATATGCTGCAAAATGTTGCATATATTTTTCCATATAATGCAGAGAGGGATGTGTTTAGGCTAACCTGTTCTCCTCGTTCTCCTGGGATTCCTGGAATACCTCGAGGGCCAACCATCGCAGGACCTGGAGGACCACGTTCACCCTGCAAAGTATTTCACACATATTGGCTTTTACTGAAGTCTAACTATGGCCCTTGCTTTCCTACACAAAATAACGGAAAAGGAACAGAATAAAGATTAAAGCATCTTCCTCAGAACAGCAGCACACAGTGAGCACAGTACCTTCTGCCCCTGCAGTCCCTCTGGACCTTTAGCTCCAGCAGGCCCTTGAGGGCCCGTCAGTCCAGGGGGCCCATCTGCCCCTCGGGGACCTGGGGGGCCAGGGATGCCAGGGGGTCCCTGAAGAAGGAGAGATAGAGAGAAAGTTAGAAAGCAGCACTAGGGAAATTTACCCATGTTATCGTGTAGTTGAGCAATACTTACCCGTTCACCTTTGTCTCCTTGTGTTCCCTTTGGTCCCATTACACCATCGAAACCTCTTTCTCCCTGACCATTTACACACAGAAGTCTTAATGCACATACATACTCTTCATCAGCGCCAGTAACACTGGACTCAATGTCTCATTATATTCTGGCTTCCAAAGAAACAAATGTCTCTCATTGCGAAATGATACGTTTACACCTTTATCTTTGTTTCACTATGAACCTTTTATAATAAATATTTTATAGGATATATTAACACTTGAAACAATGTCTAAATATGCTCACACCTTAGGTCCAACAATTCCCTCTTTTCCTGGGGTTCCTGTGGCTCCTGAAGGCCCCACATCACCCTGTAATAGAAAGTCCATTGGCACAGGTATGAGAAAGTACACTGTAGCAGAAATTGTGTGTGTGTGTTTGTTGTTATAAATTTTTGAGACAAAATGTCCTGACAATGTAGAAAAACTGACAATGCAGGACAACTGAGAAAACAGAAGTAACATACTTTTTCATTGGGCAGCTCAACATGCTTAGAGGTGAACTCTAGCTGCCAATTCTGTTATGTCAACTAACACACACCTGGGGGGGGCAGTGATGGCATCCTACCCACCCAGAGAGAGTCAGGTCAATTACGCTATCTTTGACCACAAATTGCTGTGGCATCGCCGCAAACTATAGGGCCAGTGCTCAACTGGTTGTGCCATTTAGGAGCCCATGTTGATTTTTTTTTTTAACTGATAAGGCATATTCACTTTTTAGTTATTGAGGTTAAGTTTAGGGTTGGATTTACAATTAAGCTTGGAAAATTCTTATTGCATGTAAGTACTTACATATACAGTACTGTGCAAAAGTTTTAGGAAAATTAGATTTTAAAAGCTATTTATCTGGTCAGTATGCATTTATTTGCTCAGGAAAAAAAACACTTACTGTATATGCTTATTAAAACACGTATTGTATACACGTATTAAAAACACATTGTAAAAAAACACATTGTTATACTGTATAACTTTTTATGTAAGTTAATGTAATAAGATTTTCAAAATCTCATTTTCAAATTATGCTGGCATTTTCAAATTATGTCAAAAACTGAAAAACAAAAAATGAGATAGAAGGTTTTGTTCTGACACATAAAAAGTATTAATATTATTAATATCATTAACAATATTAATATAAATGATATTATTAAAATCATCAATAATATAAATATAATAAAAAGTGATTTTATGTATATCAATGTGTTTGTTTAAGCATTTCCAAACTTCTCCTTATAGCAACTCAGTATTTTCCAACAAATAAAATAATATTTGTTTGCCAGTCAATACTTCATGAAATTAAATCAGGTGTGCTGGTGAGGAAATATAACAAATCTATGCGATTGCTGGGGTCGTTGAGGAGATTTCTGGAACCAAACTTTGTTGAAAAAATGTCACTTTTTACTATATTTATGTTTATTTGCATTTATTCTAATGATTTATGGTGTTTTTACAAGTAAACCACTTATTTTCAAGATAAATGGGTTTAAATAATGTGTTTAGATGCCAGAGGCCTTTGCACAGTACTGTATATAATACATAATGGGACAGTATTAGACCTTGTGTCCTGACATGATCAAATATTATGCGTCTTTGTGTGCATGAGTGTGTGTACCGGCTCTCCTTTCCTCCCAGGTAAACCTGGTCTGCCATTAATTCCAGGATCCCCCTAAGAACAGACATCACATCATTCACAATGAAAAACGCATAACACAGCTTTCTCTCTGTACCTCTTTCTACATTTCACTTACCCTTTCTCCTTTTGGTCCATTTGGTCCACATGCCCCCTTGGACCCTCGTTCTCCCTGTAATCCAATGAGACTGTCAGTCAAGCTGCCAGTCACTCAACATGACAGAGAGCAGTAAAAGTATAGACTGTTCCACAGGAGAGCTCTATAAATGTCTCTGAAGAGTAGAGTACTATTCATCTGTCAGTCTCACACACACACACACACACACACACACACACACCTCAAGCATACTTCGATCGCAGTCTGTCTGGTTAGTGACTTTGAGCAAATGGGTTGAATCTAGACAAGAGATTGAGTGCTTTAGTCTGAGAGCTTTGACAATCCCTCCGTGGATCAGTGATGCTCCATCTGGGCAAGTGTGCTGAAGTACTGTGTACAGGTGTATACGTCTGTATGTGTGTGTTGCTCTGTCGTTGAAAGGGCAGTGAAAGAGGAATCTACTTAAGCCTCTCTACCCCGACGAGGAGTGATTCATACACAGGTGAATGCTTTTCATGCCCCCAGTGCAGTCAGCCAATCAGTCCCTCTACACACGCACACACATACCGGGGCTCATGTGAGTGTCAGGCAATGTGGCATCAGATCCAGACTGTAGCTGAATTATAAGCAGTGCTATCATCTGGCATGGAGGGCTTTTCAAGGTTAGAGATGAACTTATGCGGTTTGAGATCTAATAGAAAAGACAATTACAATGGCACAGCCACACACCAGCACATTGCAAAATGATTGCACATACACAAACGCACACACAAACACACACACACAGACACAAACAAGCAAACACACATGCATGCAAAAGCAATCACATACCTTAGGTCCACGCATTCCTGTTAGACCAATCTCTCCTTTCTCTCCTCTCATGCCGGAGAGGCCATCTTTTCCAGGTGTACCCTGATAAATACATACACAAATCAATCAAACGGCAAAACTGAGATTTGTTTGGAACTGCAAAAAAAAGTACTTCTCTATTAGAGAAATAGAGAAATTTGAAAAGATGACAGTTGAGAAAAGATGGATGAAAAATACATACAGCTTCTCCTGGAACTCCTGGCTGTCCCGCCTCTCCCTGCAGACCAATCAGTTTACATTCAGTTACATTCAAGTTTCCCAACTTAAAACACATACAGGTATGTTTCAAGTAGCGTGAAAACTGGGCTTAGTTTGCAATACTGAAAACCATACAGTACTGCACAAAAGTCAGAGACCATTCTTTTATTTAAGTCCAAGTCAAAACAGCCATTAAGTGCATTTTTTGTCAGGATATATTGCTGTGGAGATTAGTTATAAGATAATACACTTGCACAAGCAAGGGGAAAGTCAAAGGAAAATAAGTGAAAAAACAGGAGTTTCTAAAATAGGAATTCAAAAAAATTCTTAAAAGATATAGAGAAAATGGGTTTTCCTAATAACCATGTAAGACCTGTCAACATCAGATAAACAGTACTTAAAGCTTTCATCTTTGAGAGAGAGGAGAAAAATCAAGCTCCACTCTTGCTTCAGATATGAAAAAATCCTCAAGTGTTTCTGTCCAGACTTCCACTGTGAGAAGACAACTTAGCGCTATGAGTCTGAAAGGATGTGTGGCTGTCAAAAAGCTGTTACTGCGAAAAGGACATAGACAAAAAACAAAAAGAAAAATATTTGCAAAGAAGCTGCTGGTGTGCTGGGGCGTAATTTTCTGTTAAATATTTCTAAACTTGTATTTAATGGCCGTTTTGACCGCAAATTAAATAAATGAAGTGTGGTTCGGTACTGTATATTCTGTAGTATCTGACATTTCTGTTTCTCATGTTTTAGGTAGGAGATATTCACAGAAATACCTTCTGTCCTCCTGGACCGCGAGCACCCTGGAACCCAGAAGAGCCTCTCTCACCAGGCTCTCCTCTCAGACCCTATAAACAAAAGGAAAACATTTACTACAACACTGATAACCACAGACGTACACACACACACACATATATATATATATATATATAGAGAGAGAGAGAGAGAGAGAGAGAGCGAGAGAGAGAGAGATACAAACACATACTGCTTTCCTTGGAATAATTGTATACAGACTCACCTGTACCCCTGGTGGTCCCTCTTGCCCTTTAAGGCCCTTTTCACCTTGCATTCCTTTAGGCCCTCTTTCTCCCTGTTGAAAATGATAGCCACTTACTCATTACAAAGTCCTCAAACATTCGTGCTACCATAAGAAAACAGTCCTCAGAAACCCCAAATGTCAGTCTTGTGTTTTTATTACTACAAAAGAAAACACAATAGTCAATATCAAAATATATAATATCAGTGTAGGCTTATGAAACTCTGATTCTGAGATGTCCAGAACGTCTCATGCACATGTAAGCAGTTAGCATGCATACATTTCAGTAATCTTCTCTGAGGTATTTGCAAGTCTTAAAAAGTCTCTGTGTAAAACTAAACTCTACTCTCAAATCATTCAACCAATCAAAGGCGTAAAAACAGGGAAATGCTAACCTTAAGCCTTCAAGGGTTTAAAGATCCATTTCATCATCTCTTGCCCTTACCATTTCCCCTTAGGGGAATCCCCATCACAAGGTTAAGGGCAATTCCATAACATTACCAGCTATAGTGAAGTTTGCTATATGACCGCTCTGAACATAATTGTAGACTTCAAGAACAGAATTTGCCTACATCACAGATTTGTTTCTAATCCACAAAGTAAATAAATTGTGGACAAAGCTGTTTGTGTCTTTAAACATTTGATGTATTTACATCCAACTGTGTTTTATGTGGAAAACTATCTGTAAATAACAGCTGACGTTAGCTAGTATGTAAGGTATGTCTAGCAAATGTTTATATTGAGCTCATATTGTTGGTTGTTTTGTTGTAGATTGAAACTAAGTGTGCAAAATGCAAAAGAAATGTGAGGACAAGTACACTCTTATTGACAAATCTACTCGTGCATCCATGCAAAAATATATTCCTCCATCCTCCCCCTGCCCTGTCCTTGACCTTTCAAGTGACGCAGGTGATCTGTACTTGTGAGTCATGAGATGCTGACGAGGGCATGTTGGAAACAGTAATGAAAAAGGTCCCAAGTAAATGCTCTCTTCACATTCTGTTTGCGTAAATGTTATTAATTTCACAGCTTTAAATGACTCACCGTTTCTCCTTTATTTCCTTTCTCGCCAGAAGGCCCACCCACCAACACAGTTTCACCCTGCAAAATTCAAGACGAAACACAACAAGTCTGGAACTACAGTAACTGTTCATATTTCAATCACAAACAGTACTACGCTATATACTATAAAATACTACTATGAGACATTTATAAATCTAATAAACATTTACCTTTTCTCCTTTGCCTCCTTGAGGACCTGGCTCACCCTATTAGTTAAAAGGAAGTTTATGATATGCTTAGTATCTCTTACATCATTAGAAATAGTCTGAGTTTTAAATAGATGGTCAGTTACACTCACCTTGTCGCCTCTGCTCCCTTTGCTACCTGGAAAACCCTGCAGAAATCATGTACATTACAGTATTAATTACAAGATAAAAACAGACATAATCTGGTTGCATTATAACTAAGACGCATTATTACATTTATCCTGCATCTGTATCTTACATTTTCACAAATATATGTCCTAATTTGTTGAAACCCCTGTGTGTTGGTGTGTGATAAATGGGACATTTTAGATCATTTTTTGTGCTTTTGCTCAAAGCAAGCATCCAATGCCAACTGCAGAGGAAGTACCCCTGGAGCAATTTGGAGTTAAATACCTTGCTCAAGAGAACAATGGCAGGAGATAACAGAACTGCTGTGTTAATAGCTGAGATCATACCCATGATTTCTTGGATCATAGTCAAGCTCTCTGTCTGCCAGGCTGCCACTAGTATACATGCGTGTGTGTATTTTTGAGGTTTGATATACAACACAGTACAAGGTCTTGAATCATAATGATTTGGAAATTACAGTGAGTGGGAGAGGTATACATCATAGCACTAAATATAAAGTGTGACAAACACAACCACTCTCCCCACACATCCTATTCTGCCTCAGAATCTGCTTTTCCCTCCTACTGTTCCCTTGAACACATTCAGATATGATACCCTGTCTCTCCATCTGTAAACACCCTGGTAGAGACATTGACACAATTGACAGCCCTCTTTCTGGGCACCGTGTGTCACCATGGATTAATAGCAGACAGCAACAGACACAAACACTGTGGTAGCAGATAAATTATTGGGACAGCATGAATAGATTGTAGGGACTGCACAGAAAACAGGGACAGCATGAACCTGGATACAGATAAAGAGATGAGTAGGTAAGTTATGCGTTATATGAAATGACGTAATGTATGTCCGCAAACACATACGAAACATGCATAATTACCGGAGCGCCTCTTTCTCCATCTTGTCCAGGTCGTCCTTCTTCTCCCTACAAATGCATGACAAGCAAGCCACTTAAGCTATATAAGCTATTTATCTTATATATGTATAAAATATGTATTATATTATAAAAGTAATTTTTACATAGAACAAAACAAAACCTATGAATATGAGAAGTGTTTCCAAACTCAGTAGTGTAGATGCACAGTTACAGACTTTAGGCCATTTGTTGTCATACAGAATTTATCAGCCACTCTCTACCCCAGTGGTTCGCAATACTGGCCCTAGAGTACTTCTGCTTGTGCATAGTTTAGAATTTTTCTTGTTCTAACACACTCACTTCAACTCAGAAATGGCTTAAAAATTTGTTAGTTAGCTGAAGTGTTTAAACAGGTATGTTGGAGCAGGAAAAAAGACTACTACTCTGTGCAGGGCAGTGGTACTCCAGTGGCCATATAACAGAAACTTCTTAAGTCTGAAACCTTATCTTATCTGCTTAGTCACAATGACAACTTTAGTTAGCGCTGAATTTAGGACAGAAGTTATTACAGAACAACAGTTCTTAAGTTCATAATCTTATCCATTAACTCCAGATAGGAAAACAGTATTACAGAAACATCCTAACTAGACAAAATTTCCTAAATTCTGTCCTGACTGTAAGACAACCCCAGAGCTGTCATAACTTCTGTTTTAACCGTCAGTTTCTATTGTTTTGTGCAGTGACAGGCAGCATAGTTCACTATAACTAGCATAATGATGCTACATTTATCAACACTGAAAACGGTGCTTTGTTTTGTGAGGGTTTTTTTTTCTAACAGCGTTTTAAAACCCCAGACGCTGCAGACACGATGTCCACCGGCCCCTCTTATTATCTTCGGGTGTTACTATTGATGAAAACTCATGAGATAAAGTATTACAGGGACAGTGGTGAATAATGAGGAGACAGAGCTGAACGTGTGTCTGTTTATTAGGAGGAATAACATTAGCATGGTCAGCATTTGGGAAATGAAACTGAAACTGGGGAGTGGCGAAGCTCTGAAAAACACAATATTGTCAACTTTCAGTTTATCGCGCTTTAGTTTTGTTTGACCTTTTTTGTACATCAGTAACGGTAGCTAGCTGCCTGGCTAACTAGCTTGATTACTTTGATTACATGTTTGAGTTTCAGCTGTGCGTGTATAGTCAGTTGCTAGATAACTGACATGACAGTCGATTGTCAACAGATCGAGTAAGTTAAGATTTCTTAACTTGAGATTAGATGTTATAAGATTCCTAAATCAAGATAAGTTTTGCAAATTTGTGAAAAATCTTATCTTGACCTGTCAGATCTTAAGTTAAGACAAAAAGATAGGAAGTTTCTGTAATACCGCTCCAGGACCCTACCACATTCATCACTGTTCAGTTTCTGACCACAGTTGGTGGTCCATTCTCAACCCAACAGTGACACTGACATGGTACTGTGTGTGGTGTGGGTATGAGGCACAGCGATGTTGCTGGGTTTTTTTACACATCAGTGTCACTGCTAGGTTGAGAGTGGACCATCACCCAGAAATATATAGAGTGGCTCTGTGGTCGGAACCTGACCAGTGATAAAGAGACAGAGGATTGATGGGCTATTAACATTGCTTTTCTACCAGACAGTAAAGTTTTTATACAGAGCTGCTTCAAATCTGTGATCACCAATTTTCTCATCATTTCCACTGCCAAGTACCTGTACCATTACCAGAGTACCTGCGCTAAATTTGGTTACCCTTTTTGCTAAAATGGAGCTAGAAATTGTGCAAGCTGTTGATTGGTCAAACATAGCTGTCACAGATCATCACTCAAGTCACCAAGGTACAAATAGTTATCGATTATGATTAGTAACCGTACTGTGCTGCACACTATAACTGTACACAAAAAAGGTGAAACTGCAAAGTAGAAGGTCCCAATAAATATACTTCTAATATACAATACTTTGGTCTGAGGCCTTACCCGAGGTCCTGGATCTCCTCGCTCTCCTCTTTGTCCTGGTACACCTACAGCAACTTCACCCTGAAGAAAAAGGAGGCATATGATTTTTTTGTCCCCACAGGCTTGCTAACTCACAAAAACACTAATATTAAGACAATTACAAATAATATTAATAAAATAAGTAGTTATTACACATAAATACATTCGTGTTACTTTTACTGTATTTATGTTTATTTGCAATTATTCTAATGATATGGTCACAAACACTCACCTTATCACCCTTAAGCCCTGGCAGACCTCCATTACCCTAGTAAAGAAGGAAAGACACCATGGACACCATGATAAAACTTTTTCTTGTTTTTGAAAATGCTTTGTCTCTTTCTCTCTCTTTCCTACTCACTGGTGAGCCAGGGGGTCCAGGAGCACCATGGGTCCCTGGGTTTCCTGGTTTGCCTATAAGGCCTGGCAAACCCTTAAACACAGACCAAAACAAACATCAAGACGTGAAGTACAGAACATCAAATCTCTGACCAGAATTCAACACGAAAAAAAAAAAAAATCCTTGCTCAAGGGTTCAATATAATTTTCAACATGTGTAACTTTAAAATTGGCCATCACTAACCCTCTCTCCAGGGGGTCCTGGAGTCCCTGGCTGACCTGCTTCCCCTCTTTGGCCTGGTAGTCCTGGGGTTCCTGCTATACCTTGAGGCCCAGGAGGACCAGGATGGCCTGGAAGACCAGGATCACCCTGATATGAAACATATATCACAATCAAATTTAAAGCAAATCAGAAATACTGAGGTAAAAAAAGAATAGGACTGGCTGTTTGTGTGTGTGTGTGTGTGTATGTGTTTGAAACCTTTAAGCCTGGAGGTCCAGCTTGTCCTGGTGGGCCAACCATTCCCACACCTGTTTCACCCTGAAACCAAAAATAGCTTAAAGTTGACATCTTTGAAAAGATCCCACCGAAATGATCCAGCAAGCAGTAGTGCCAACAACTAAGGCAAAATTAGTTATTTACTTTGCCTCCCTTAGGCCCTGGTGGTCCTCTGTCTCCCTGAAAAAGCAGAGCAGAAAAGAGACATTCACTTTTAAGTACAGATCAGTCTGGTGATAGGATACATTGTTGCTTGTCCCTGTTTGCAGACACTCACTTTTTCACCAGGCTCCCCGGGATCACCTGTTATGCCCTGCAGGACAAACATACAACATCATTTTATCAGTGGTGTGGTGTTAGTGTTTGTGAGGTGTCTGTGGAGGGTCTGAAAACATGCATATCGCACTCACTCTGTCTCCTTTGATGCCAGCTGGTCCCTTGTCTCCTTTAACACCCTGGGACACAGAGAACACATCAATCGGATTAAGATTTACCATTTGAAAATAACCGTGTAATGTGTGAAGGAAGCATTGGGCAGCATGAAAATTAATGAGATTATTGGATTAGTCTATAATAACTTTTATAGGAGTATCAGAAAATGTACAAATATATTTCTTATTCTGGCTTTGAGTTAGTGTTAGAGGGAAATGTCATGCAGAAGATTTAAAAATAATCATTGCAGAGCCTTGACAAGTTTTCAGTTTTTGACTTTTTCATATGTCTGTTATGACGTATTTTGATTACTACTGCTGAATAAATATCAGTGCTTAGAAACAGGTGAACTGGATAGTTAGATGAAAGGATGACACTAGAGCAAGAATCACCTGTGGACCAGGTAGGCCTCGCTCTCCGACTATCCCTGCCAATGTTTCTCCAGGAGGACCCTTCAGTATTCAGAGAAAATATGGATTACATTTATATGCTGCTGCTAGCAGTGAAACAGTAATACAGGGAGTAATAGAAAAAAGATATAATCTATTGTTTGCAATTCATAACACACAATCCTGATATGGTACCAATCTATTTTCCAGAGGAGTCATAAATAATACAAATGACACTCTGGCCTGCACTAACGTCAGAAAATAAAGAAGCAGAATGTGTGCACAAACATCTCTGTCAACTGAAAGAGTAATCTGTGCTGTCTACTTCAAAACATTACATTTTTCTTTTTGTAGAAAGCAATAGATTGCTTCCAGTACACTGAACAAAACCTTCAAATTATCCACTACGCATCACTGCTCACATCACCTAGTCTCATAAAAACACATGCTGTTCTCTAGGAAATAACCAAGTCCATGACTCACCCTCTCACCCTTCACCCCAGGGGGTCCAGTTACTGACTGTATTTAAGTACAGGAGAGAAGTAGAGAGCGCAGGAGACCAAAGAATCACAGCATATTATTAGTATTAGTATTAGGTAAGTCTTGTGTGCCTTGCATTAAAACACATTCATAAGTATTACATGTTCAAATGTGTGCACACTGCTCATATTATTTATCCTGACTGTACAAACAATCATGCAGATGACTTTCTTTACACCTTAAGTCACTGGCATTCATAACGTTTCCTGCATTTGCTTTAGTCTTTGTGTCCTATATGTCGTATTTATTTGCATAGGTACAGCCTGAAGACTGTATGGCTTTTTGGCCATCTCATGCCCGTGGTGTTTTCACTGAAATTCCAATGAAACCATCTTTCAAAAAAGAAAAAAGCATATGCATTAGAAAGATACCTTTCCTGGTGGTCCACTGTCTCCTTGCTCACCTTTCGGTCCTGGAGACCCCATTGGTCCAGGAATTCCCTGTAGAAGACAGTGTGCAAAGACAAAGAGACATATGAACATTAAGGCAACAGATGAAACATTTAGACTACACACAATCATATTTACTGATGTCCAAAACACATGAACATTTGCCTGTTTTCCAGGTAAACCAGGTGTTCCTTCTTTTCCAGGTACACCATCTCTACCAGGGACACCAGGCTTTCCTCCCTCTCCCTGTGGAAAACAGTCAATGTAAGTGGACTAAAGTGTAAATGCTTTGTGATCAAACATAACTAGACTGTACTGTGCAAAACACCACCCTTTATTTACCTCATTTCAAGAGGTCAAATGGCCATTGAGTACAAGTTATTCATTTTTCAGCAGGAAAAAATCAGAAAACATATTTAACAGGAAACTACACAGAAGCTTCGATGACTAAACATTATACCAAACTGTTCAGTATTGAGCGTGTCCACAATTTGATTTTATTGCAGCTTCTCTTATTTTTGGGATACTTACTTTCAAAGAAATCTGCAGGGAACTTTTTCCACAATTATAAAGTTCAGTCTCAGAAGTTGGCTGCATCTTTTGCTTTTCACAATCCAAGTAATCTTAAATACAGTGAATGATAGTGAGGTCTAGACTCTGGGGCGGACAGTGCATTGTTCTGAGAACACCAGCAGTTTCTTTGTTTAATAAGTACACGTTGATCTTCTCAGCAGTGTGTCTGGGGTCGTTATCTTGCTGCAGAATAAATTTCTTCCCAATCAAACATTTCCCAGAGGGTACTGTACGATGTATTAAAATTGGTTTGTACTTATCAGCATTCATGATGCCTTCAATATAAAACAAATCACCAGATGTTATTATGTACTCCCAAACATACACAGCTCTGCCACAATTTTCTTGCACTTAACTGGAAATGAAATAAATGAAAGAATAGTTTCTCATGTTTGTAAAGTACTGTGCAATGAGTATAGTCTGCATGGTGTTTTTAAGCAATGGGACACAAGTTGGAGTGCACCGTTATGAATTAAATCACAGCTGTGATTTGACAGTTTATTGTATTATTATTATATTATACAATTTGTGATAACCTTAAGTGTTCTATTGATTTCATACAATAGTCCAGTTACTTTTTTGCCTCAGGTTAAAATTTCTTGATGAATGGACAAATAGAAATTGTCCAAAATTACTTGGAAAAAAAACTGTTACACTCCATGTTACTTCTAGTACAAGTTTAAAACGTTTTGTCCTTCTCCTGTTATCATTTTGGAGACACAATGATTTGTTTCAACAGCGATGATACGTTTTATGATTATATGTAATTTCTTTTGCCTAAACATTATTTCTCTGACAAGTGCTGTGCTGCACCCACTGTTGTTACTTAGTGTGGTCAGAGAAACTATAACAGTATGGTAAAAAATGTTATCAGATAAAACCAACAGTTGTATAAGGTATTTTATTACTGAAGTCTTACCACTTGTCCTGGGAGACCTGGAGGTCCTTGTGGGCCCTACAAGAAATCACACCATTCAGTTTTGACCTTCAGGGGATGAATATGCTGTACGTTATTCACCTTCTGAAGTCATTATTATTAAACATACAATTATAGAGAGGAAATGAGAGGAAAAATTCAGATAAGAATGTTACCCATTAGCACTTGCCAAAAAAGAAACATTAATTAGGCCCTAATGGGCTGGCTGACTTTCCCTGTTCTGCATGAAGTGGGTTATTAGAAGGAGTCAGATGAGAACACGTATGCCGCAGGATTAGCAATTTCATTATTTATTTCTGTATATTTTTTACTTAGAGCTTAATACAATGTGATTCTGTTGAATTGTACAGAAATGGATACTAGTGTCTAGAACTAGTATTGAACTAGCAATTATTCTTGAAGAAATTGATAAAACATTTTACTATTCAGTTTTAGCTATGTTTTAAGGATGATATCATAGGTCATATTCTGCATTTCAGACTCCTGTCTAGTTAGATGAAAGAGAATGACTGGTAGCCATTTTTTAAAATACAAAGCAAAAGTCTGTCACTTCAAAAGAGGCCTGTATTAATAATTTATTTGCATTTCTTATGCTCAGTGAAAGTCTAAGGGCATCGCGATGACGAGTAACAGCCCAGACAGATTATATGGTCTCATATCATTGAATTTTTTTATTTGAAGATCTATTTTTATGCAACACCAACAGCCCATTACATAATCTTACAGAAATCTTCTCTCACGCTTCAAAGATTGATTCAATGGAAGTTAAGGTGGAGATTAAGCTATTAGAAACATTAAGATTAGGGTTAGGACTGAATGTAGCTTTCATCTTACAATAGCCCCTGGTGTGCCTGTAATTCCAGGCAATCCTCTGATGCCTTGCGGTCCTGGCGGGCCCTGTAAAAGTATAAAGACATGACCAAGCTGAGAAGACTCTAGTGTTCTTGCCAGTGCAATGGTTTAACGTCCTTGGCTAAATGTGACAAAAGTAGTCAGTCAGTTTTTATCCCTTAGAATTAAAACAGGCTGTTTTTCTTACTGTGCCTTTAAGACTGATAAATGATCTCCCTTCTGATTGGCTGCCCTGTATTCCTGTACTTTGCCATAAAATAAAAATCAGTCCCTGCTGAAACACTCCTTCACTTCAGCAGTAATTGATGAGCCTAAACTGCTGTTGGCTGAATAGGTGGATATATGTAAATGAGTTGGATTTTCTGACATGACACAAACAATGAATTCAAAACAGGCTGATTTTGCAGGTTAGTTTCCATAAATGAGCCACATATACTGGAGAGTGAATGGTACATTTTAAAACACTAACAATGCTTACAGACCACACCAAAATCTTTTATTTTAAAATTACAGTACTTTGAGAATAGTCCAGGCTTCCATTTCTCACTGCAATAACTTAAGAATGAATCAATCGGTTTGCATTGTTTTTCATAAGTACTGAATAATCTGAATAATAAGCCTTAGGATGCAATAAGCATAGACACTGAAGGGCTTAATGACTGAATACATGTTATTTTAGGCCTATATCATGTAAAAATTTTTAAACAAATGTGTTCGATGTAATACATAAACATTATCAAAGTTTCTAAACATACCATTCCCCAGTCCATTCAGTCCATATATGGAAAGTATACTGTAAAAACAGCCTGTTTTGAATTAACTGCATTTACAGATATCCTTCTATTCGGTCTACAGCAGCCCCGCCCACTCACACTTAAGTTATAAGGAGTGTTTCAGCCTGGACTGCTTTTTGAATGAGGCACAATTCAGGGCAGCCAATCAGAATAGAGGTAATTTAAATATGTCAGTTTTGAAGGCAGAGTAACAAACACAGCCTCTTTAGGGATAAAGAGAAGTCCTGTAAAAATGTAAGTGTACCTCAGGAGGAAAAATAAATACAGCAAAAATGTAGGATGCAGGGCCCTTAAATGTAAGCATGTGGTTTAAATAAAGACTTACCTGAACTCCTACACCTGGCTCCCCACTGTCACCCTACGGGTTTCACACATAAACACACAAACACACACAATGACCTTTTCATTGTTGCAGTCAAACCTGGTCAGTCAATGGCATTCATCTATACAGAATAGCCAGAACATTCCTCCACTGTAACATTATTAGAATCACTGGCTATATGCCTGGCAACACACTGACCTTCACACCAGGTGGTCCTGGAGGTCCATTTGGACCCATTGGTCCCTGTAATGATACCCATAATTAGTAAAAGGCTTCTCTGCATGTTTTGTCTGACTATAAGTGCATGTGACACATATACTTACAGTTGGTCCTCGTATTCCCGGTTCTCCAGGATTTCCCTGTGTGCAATACACGTTACAGTCAGCACACTAACATACAGCAGGAGCTTCCAGCCACACACACAATCACATGTAAATAACACATGTAAACTTGTGCATATTCAACATTGTAAGAACTGACACACATTACACACTTGCCTATTCACTATACATATGCTTTTTAATTAGGGCTGTCAAACAAGTATTTACCTTATTTCCTCAATATATAGATGTTTTCCAATTAAAAAGCAGTGCTTTCTGATATAGTTTTATAAGCAGACACGATAAGCTTCACTGGAATGTATTTATCACTTTCAATAAATCAGTAAGATTCTTTTAATTGTGTGAGGCATGCAGGCTTCAAAATGAACCCGAAAATGTGATTTCCATAGGATGAACACAGTTTCCAACTTCCAGTGAAAGCAACAGTGGCCATATGTTCCAATCATATATACAATGCTTGTAGCCTGTTTGCTTTTGCTCACAGCTCAAGGATTCTCTTTGCAGTGGAGGCTCTGGAGAGGAATTATAGCTTTCCACTCTGCTATTGCCTTTGTTAGTTTGCTGCTCATTGATTTATCCATGGGTTCCCTAGGAGCACTGCCCTGCATAGCCTGTCAAAGGTCCCAAAGGTATTGCTTTAAAAGCCAGTTGTATTTGAGTAAGATGGCGAAAATGTTAAAAAAAAAACTGTGACAATCGTTTTTTTTGCATTAATGACAACCCTACTTTTAAAACATATGTACAGTTGAAGTTACAGACACACACCCCATAACATAAGCAGACACACATATACTACTGATGTAAATAATTGTAGCGATGCACCAATCCATCTTTTCTGTCTGGATACTGATTCTTATATCTGAGCTTGGCTGTACAGATCCAGTACCAGTGTTAAGACAATCGTGTTTTGGCAATTGTTTTGTAGTCACAAAGTACATAAATATACAGTAGAGGCTAGTGTACCATAGTGGAAGCTAGGGCTGAATGAGTAGGGCAAAATATCTAACTGCATTTTTTTTATACTTTGAACCCTAAATATAGTTTGCCAGACTGCTGGTTAGTTGTTGTTGTTTTATAATGTACACAGTACATGGGTGTTTGGTTGCTTCTTATTGGTGTAACTCATCTACACGCTGTTTAGAATCTCTGCAATGTCAGGTTAAATTTTCCCACTTGAAATTTGAAATAATCTTGTTGATAATATTAGCTGCAATACAAATTCAATTGTAATTTGAAAATTGCACTCTTTAAAATTGTGATATTTATATGAAAATGACCAGTCTTTCAGCCCAAGCGGAGGTAGTTTTTTTAAATTGCATGGTTCTATTAGGTCTATAAGAACTGTTACAATTATGCAATTATATAACATCCATGCTTAAGAAAGTATTAGTATTAAGAAAGCATTAAAACTGGACCGGTCACATCTTACCAATATCAAAAATATTTCAAATTAAAATTACTGTTGGTGTCAATTCCAGTATATTGGAATGGTGCATCATTACTCAATTGTAGCAAAAAGCTAAATAACTTAGACAAACACTTATAGAACACACAGTAAAGACAAACAGATGGACAGAAATATAAGCAGACAGACAGAGAGACACCCAGATATCATCCTCCCCACTCCCACCAAAAAGCATAGCAGCCAACAGTCACAGCCACAGAAAAACCTACCGGTCTGCCCAGCACTCCTGGGAACCCCGGCAAGCCCTAAAGAAAGAGAGAGGGGGGGATTGAGGAAGAGAAAGTATAGTAGAGAAAAGGACAGTGATGGTTAGAGAAGTTAGAAGTGAAATGTAAAAGGGCACAGATAAATCAGAAATGAGAAGAAAGGGACATAAGAAAGGAGTGGGAGTAGACAGGTATGAGGTTGGGGAAAAGAAAAGACAGGGAGGTGAGCTGTTAGAAGCAATGCTGCATATGTTACTATCTACAGTTCATCTATGGGTAGCCTCAGCCAAAGAGAAACAGCTCCAGCAGCTTTTGTAGCTTTCACAGCCAATCCCCAGGCTCTCCCAAGGGGGGCTGCCATGTTGGGCTACTGTTACTCACAGGTGGGCCTGCTGGACCGGCTGACCCCTTGAAACCCTGCTCCACAGGGGAATAAATAAAGGTGTGAGTGGAGCCTCAGTGCTCCTCCACCTCCTCAGTTCACTAATGTCCTACCTTCAACCACTGTCTCACTTCTTTCTCTGTCTCATCTTTCTTTAATGTAAAATTATCATGCATCTCAGTACTGTTTCTCTTGCCTTCATGTGATATTAACTGAAAACAACGCCACAGCTGGCAGAAAAAAATAAACTTTATAAAGCACTCCATAGAGGACAAACTGCTGAGTCCACCTTACTTTAAAGATTTTCCCAAGACAGCAAAAAGCTTTCTAGGACTCACCTTTTTCAGGTCACCTTAATATGGCAAGAATAATAATGAATATTCCAATATTCACATCAGCACTCATAGTTTCATCATTAAAGGTTGAACATTCCATACTAAATGATTGCCAAGCATATTATAAATCTTTGCACATAAGAACATTAATAAGGAGTACAGACAGTTAAAATAAGCCAAATATGTTTAACATTTTCAGGGTATCCATGGCAACCACTTTCTCACCGGCTTTCCATCCAGTCCAGGTTTTCCAGGTTCTCCTGTCAGCCCCTAAAAACGATTTTCCTTGTTAATTTAATATCAACACTGCAAACTGAACCACAGTTGCATATAAAGCAAAACAGACTCAAGCTTTAAAGAGTTCAGACTTACAGGGAGTCCATCTCTGCCTTTTTCACCTGCTTCTCCTCTATCACCCTTTTCTCCACGAACACCTGCAACACCCTAAATAATAATGGAATGACAGACGAATTTCATCTTTAGAAACAAAAATATGTGCAAAAAAGACAGTCAACACACAACACACACATACAAACAAAAGATACTTACTTGCTCTCCTTTAGGTCCAGGAGGACCTTGTGCACCAGCCTCTCCTTTAATACCTTGAGGGCCTGGTGGACCCCGTGGACCAGGCACACCAGGGAGCTCAATCACTGAATCGCCCTATAATCAGGGTTGTGAGGGTTACTTTAAAATGTATTCTGTTTAAAAATGTAATTGTAACCTAATCTAAAGTATTACTATTTCAAAGTAATGTAATTTGATGACTTTCCATTACTTTCGGTTTACTTGTCTTTTTAAAATCATATAATTACATGAAGAGAGTAGAAAATAATTTCAACATAACTTTTTCAACAGGAATTTAATTCAACACAAGGCAAACAGGAACACTGCACTGTTTTTATGAAACATAATAATAGTATATGAGTGAATGTTGTGCCACAAACGGTCACTAATCTGATGTTTAGAAAATGGCCAAATCTGAGCGGAGCAATATATGTAAACATTTCAATACGGAAATATGACAAACTTGTACAGTATAATTTGTTTAGACATGAGCAGTGAAAAAGGTGACAAGTTTTAAAAATCTAAGCACAGCTCCCCAGGATAAAAATTAAGTGATGTTAACAGAAAAATCAAAAAGCTTTGAGACTAAAATAGAAAGAAATAAGTAATCACTATACAATGATCCCATTCAACATGCAAATGCAGTGTAGTTTAAACTATATTGCTCTCCTTGGATTTTACCTTATTTGTTAAAATATGTAGCTACTATACAGTCGAAAAATCAATCTGACAGAAATCTGAGACCCTTATTAACAATAATTTATAAACAGAACTGGCCATCATTTGTGTTCCCCGGGTTTCATATTGGTGTGTCATACTTGAACTTTGATGACAGTAATTTGTAGATGCTCCCTCATCTCTCAGCGGTTTCAGCAGTTCTCACTTCATATGAAAACTAAGTGGAAGCTAATTGTCTTAGTTACAGAAAATGATAATTTACACATATTAACATTCTACACCCATGATTTTCATGTTGTGGAACTGTTAGGTACTATTAGTTCAACTTAGCATGAAAATCTGGCAGGTTAACGTTTGCAAAAGTTCGATTTATAGCCAGTGAAAGTGAAGAATTTTATGTAGCAACAAATTAAAATAAAATAAAGTTTACTTCCAGATCAGTTTGCGGCTGTACAATCTGGTGGAATGTAAAATCAGGGTAAAAGACTGATTTGAATATCTTTGGGAAAACGCTGCAGATCTTTTCTGACAATAATAGAAAAAAACTTTGACTAAATAAAACACTGTGTGCTGCTGGAGAGGAGGATTCTTCAGAAATCTCTCCTGAAAGCAGGACCCTCCTCTTCCCCAACGTAAAAACTCTTCAAATCTACACAATGTACGTGGTTTCAGTGTAATCCTGCTGGTGATCACCTTGTTTTTGAAATGTACCTATGATCTCATTACTGTCTTTTTTACTGTAACAGAATACAGTTATGTATAATGATTACATAACACCGTTACAGGTATTCAGTTACTACCCAATCCTGCTTATAACATATCTCCCTCACTCCCTCATCCACACACATACCCACACGTCAACACCAGTCACCATACACATAGCACTGTGCAAATGTCACAGAGTACTCTTAATTTCTAGTCAAAACTGTTTAAATTCAAATTATTTACTTCTCAGCATCAGGAAAAAAGCATATACATATACGTATACAGTCAAATGCAATAGTTTAGGTCCAGTGATTTTAGGTTATGTTTTTGCTCCTTATTTTTACCTTGGGTCCAGGAGGTCCTGCTGCACCAGCTAATCCAGGTTTACCCTAAAGACAAAGAGGCCAAATGTCAAGTTCTACTGTATAAACAGATTTAAGTGAAGATCTTGATGGATGTATACTCACAGATTCTCCTTTCTCTCCTTTCTCCCCTCTTTCTCCCTAAAAGTTGCACATGAAATTAAAACTGAATAGTCTCCTCATTTTTCCGAACGTACAGCCATATTTGTATAGTCATTAACATTAATGCAATCAACAAAGTAATAATAAGTATTACTGATAACTGTCTTTGCAACTACCTTATCTCCAGGTCTGCCAACCTCTCCCAGTTCGCCAGCTCGTCCCGGTACTCCTGGTATCCCTGGTTTTCCAGGCTCTCCTGCCTGTCCAGGAGGGCCCTCTGGGCCCCTTTCTCCTATAGCCCTGCCTGTTGGGCCCTGAGGGCCTGTAGGCCCTTGCTCGCCCTTATCACCTTTTAACCCTCGCTCACCAGGAAATCCACGAGAACCCTTACATTGAGAGTAAAAATGACAGAAGGAAAGCCACAGAGAGAAAGATTAAATGGAGTGAAGAAAAATGGGAGTGGCAAAAATTAAACTTCTAGTAAGCTCATTTTCATAACATAACTATGTTAAAACTAAAAAATAAACAAAGGAGAAAGAGACAAATGCAAATGAGACTGTGCTGCTGGAGGGTTTTAGGCAAGAGCAGCTGATGGCCTGTTGTCGGTTCAGCACCACAGACGGACAGCACCATGGACAGTGCCTGAGGAGAATTCAGCCCCTACACCTGCTCTTCTCTGCACAGGCCAGCAAAAAAGGCCAAGCTTTTAATTTGACCTACAATTAACTTGACAGACACACACACACACACACACACACAAACACACACACACACACGCTTACACTTACATCAGCACCAGAAGGGCCTTGGGATCCTGCATCTCCTTTATCTCCTTTTTGTCCTTTATCTGCTTTCTCTATGTCTACTTTCAGCAGGATATCCTTTTTGTCAAGCACCATCTTCAAATCTCTGACCTACAGAAAGAAAGAGGTTTTAAAACTCCATAAACATCATTAATGATTTCTGAATAATGATGATGACATCTGAATACCTCAATGCCAAAATCTGAAAGTGCCCTCTTCACATCCTGAAGGAGACAAAGAAGATGTTAGTAAACTCTCTATCTGTTTGTATGCATGTGTGTTTCACTGTGTGTAGGCTTACTACTGGCGTTCCTGGCTTCCCAGGTGACCCATCTTCGCCTGGATCTCCCTGAAAAAAAAGTATAATTTAAAAACATAAATAAACATAAATACGACAATCTAAAAATCAGATATACAGATAAAGTTAATAGAACATACTTGATCTCCTTTTACACCTTGTGGACCCCGCTCTCCCTTTAAAAAAGAGAATTAATTCATTTAGCAGCACAAATGAACTATGAAATTATAAATTATTATCTTGTTATGGTTTTTATTCTACATAGTAGCACTACATTTTTGCTTGTAAACTCACCCGAGCTCCTGCAGTTCCTGGGACCCCTGGAATTCCCTGAAAGAAATGATGAAAAAAATATGAAAACACACATATACAGATTTCCATTAGACTATCCCCACTTACAGTCTAGGAGTAATTTTTTTTGTTTTTGTCCACTGTACAAAAGGTTAACTAATGCCAAGCACCACTTCAAAACACGCAGGAAACAGAGACTTAAAGCTTCTGCCATTGTGACATTACCTGTACAAATGTACCTATTGTTTATAGATTCATTTAGATTGTGATATAAGGTCGCATTTGCTGGGGAAATGCTATAGACATCTGTGTAAAACATGAAGCAAATGTATTTAAATGCAGCAGTCATCACTGGCTGTGGGTAGTACCACTAATGGACATTTCAAAAGAGCTGTTATATCAACGGATGAAAATACTGGCATCTACTAAGATTTGCAATATTTGTTGTTACTCACTGGAGCTCCTGGAGGCCCTTGGGGTCCTGGGATTGGTGCTACCTCAGCCCCTTTAAAATATATCACCTGTGGGTGAGATAAGGATAGAGACAGAGAGAGTGAGACAGAGAGAGAGAGACAGAGAGAGAGAAAGATCAACAGGAAAATCCACAACACAAATTGATTTCATAATTAATGGACAAAAATTTGCACATCAAATAAATTCTTGAGGGACTACCAGTACGATCATGCATTCGAAAACCAAAAGACACACGAAAAACACAAGCACACACGAGACAAAGGCACCTGTCCTGGGGGTCCAATACTGCCAGGCACCCCAGGGGGGCCAGGGGGTCCTGCTGGCCCAGAGGGTCCTGCAATGCCATGATCACCCTTCAGCCCATCTTGACCCTGACATAGAGGGAAATCAAGAGAGGGGAGCATCCATGGAACAAATTAATTTTTTAATTAATGAGCATAAATTTGCACATCAAATAGTCTCATCTGTGAAGAGCTCTTCCCGTGGGCCTTCTCAAACACAGCTACTGTCAACAACACACACACCAGAACCCTTCCTTAAAGGAGAGGAATCTGGCTGTGTGTACAGATATGCGTGAAAATTTACACTACATTTTAGTTATGCTGTGATTGTGCTACACTTAACAGAAAATCTTTACATAATCATTAAAGAAAAATAATGCTGTGAGGTAAACATCAACTGGCTGCTATTGTGAAGCAGTAAAAAAGAAAGAAAAAAGACTAAGTTAGATAATGACACAAAGAGAGAATAACAGAATAGAAGAAAAATACATTTATAATAAATTTATTCACTTCATTATAGGATAATTCTCAAATTCATACAGCTTTCTCTGCGATTTTAGAATATTCTGTGGCTCTGTTCATCATTCTGGACTCATCTAACATTTCTTTATTTTAATTTAGAGCTTATAGCTTGTGTGTAAAGATAAAATATGGGGAAGAGATAGAGTTGAAGGAAAGTGCCTTGCTTACATTTCTTCCTGGGGGTCCTGGGTCTCCTTTCTCACCCTGCAGAGAAAAACAGCCAAGAGGCAATGAGAATAATATAAAAATAATGTATGATTCAGAAGCACTGCTCGGATTTTTTTTTTACCTTTCTGCCATCTTCCCCAGGGACACCATCTTCACCCTGAATTTTTTCAAAGGAAAAAAATAACAAATAAATATAAATCAAAGCAGCAAGGTCAGTTAGCAAATGTAGCTACTGCTCTCTGAGAAACCCATATACAATTGCATAAGCTTGTGAGGTGAGCACAAAAACAACATACAACATCTAGTATATAGGTTATTTAACCTGGTTACAGTCTTAGTATTAACACAATATGCACAAAAAAGGAAGCACCTAATATTAGCACCTAAAATGCTAAAAATTATATATATCACAAAGCTTTTCCTACTCAGTTCTTCATCTGCAAAATAACCTTTCTGTCTGTGTCTAGAACCCAATCGCAATCTGTAAACCTAAGCTGAAAATGTACTTTGATCTGAGGGTTCATGGATGTAGAGAATTAAAGTAAACTGAGAGGTCACTCTCACATGCTCCCTCAAGTCTGTTGACAATGGAAAGTATGTGTGCTGATGTCTCAGGGTGACCTCATGCCTGTGTTGCCTTCTGGCTCTTCTGTTTTAGTTTTAGTTATGTTACTAGAGCTAGGCCTGCTGGAGAGACTGTGTCTGCACTATGCACCATGCAGTAAGTACTAAATGCTCTGAACATAACTGGCGTGGTTGGTATAGTGTAGTGGGTAACGTCTCTGCCTTCCACGCTGTAGGCTGGGGTTCAATCCCCGCCTGGGCAAACACCCTACGCTTTACCAATAAGAGTCCTTGGGCAAGACTCCTAACACTACCTTCGCCTACCTGTGTAAAAATGATGAAATTGTAAGTCACTCTGGATAAGAGCGTCTGCCAAATGCCGTAAAATGTAAATAACTGACAACCTGTTGTGTTGTATGTGTCTTCCTGTTGTCTAATACAGCGCCCTCAACAATTATTGGCACCCCTCGTTAAGATGTGTTCTTAGGCTTCTAATAAATTCTTTTTTTTTTTTTAAATAGTACAGGACAACAATGCAAAAAAAGAGAAAAATCCAACCTTTAATTTAAAGTGCATTTATTCAGTGGGAAAAAAATCCCACATTAAGAAATAATTATTTTACATGAAATCATCTGTGCCACAATTATTGGCACCCCTGATGTTAATACTTTGTACAACCCCATTTTGCCAACAAGACAGCACTTAATCTTCTCCTATAACATTTCACAAGATGGGAGAATACAGAGAGAGGGATCTTCAACCATTCCTCTTTGCACAATCTCTCTAAATTGTCCAGAGTCCTGGGTCCTCTCCTATGCACTCTCTTCTTCAGCTCACCCCACAGGTTTTCAATTGGGTTGAGGTCTGGGGACTGAGATGGCCATGGGAGGAGCTTGATTTTGTGTCTGGTGAACCATTTTTGTGTAGATTTGGCCACATGTTTAGGGTCATTATCTTGCTGAAAGACCCAGTGACGACCCATCTTCAGCTTTCGGGCAGACGCCACCAGATTTTGATTTAAAATGTCCTGGTATTTCAAAGAGTTCATGATGGCATGCACCCTAACAAGGTTCCTGGGGCCTTTAGAAGAGAAACAGGCCCACAGCATCACCAATCCTCCCCCATACTTCACAGAGGGTGCTTTTCCGCATCTTTTGTGTTACGCCAGACCCACTTAGAGTGTTTGTTCCCAAAAGCTCTATCTTGGTCTCATCTGACCAAAGCACATGGTCCCAGCTGAAGTCCCAGTACCGCTTAGTGAGATGTTTACGTTTATGTTTCTAAGTGAGAAAAGGCTTTTTCCGTGCATGCCTCCCAAACAGCTTGTTGGCATGTGGATAGTGCCTGATGGTTGTTATGGAGACTTTGTGACCCCAAGATGCTACTCTTTGATGCAATTATCTAACAGTGAGAGAACTTTTTACTTCTTTTACCATCCTCCTCACTGTGTGTGGTGGCAAGATAAACTTGCGTCCTCGTCCAGGCTTGTTTGCCACTGTTCCAGTTGTTTTAAACTTCTTGATGATTCCTCTGACTGTAGATATGGGCAGGTGTAGGCGAATGGCTATTTTCTTGTAGCCATTGCCTGACTTATGAAGGTCGACACACATCTGCCTTACTTGAAGGTTGTGTTCTCTTGTCTTTCCCATGTTGAAGAGTGGATAAGAGAAATAGGCCTCTGTGTCATGTCATATTTATACCCCAGGGAAACAGGAAGTGATGAATTACTAATTAAAGTTCCTAGATACTCTGATCAACTTTATAAACTACAGTAGAAATGACAGAAATGCTTCAATTACATTTATTTTCTAGGAATTGTTAGGGGTGCCAATAATTGTGGAACAGGTGATTTTATGAAAAATAATGATTTCTAAGTCAGGGATTTTTTTTTTAATTCACTTGAGTTAAAGGTTACATTTTTCTACAATTTTCAGTGTGTGATTATGCTTCTGAAATAAAAATTGAATTTATTTTAAGGCTTTTAACACATCTTAACGAGCTGCGCCAATAATTGTTGAGGGCGCTGTATATGTATTTTGATGCATATATGTTATGCCGTTTTTTTATTTACCTGCCTCTTTTTAAAGCATTTTGAGCTGTATTACAATTTTAATTTTAATTTTAGTTTTCATTGTAGCAGAGATATGTATGTTGCTGTATGAAAAAAAAACATTTCTCAGATAATGGAGAAAATTAGAAAATCAAAGTGTTACATTGTGCTCACAAGCTTGCCTCCTCCTGCACTCAATCAAAATAATTGACATGTTTGTGAACAAAAGAGGGATGTGCAGTAACTACAAAATGGCTGTCGTTTTACTGGTGATTTGCAACCAACATTTTTTCATAAAACACATTTTGTGAAAGACCTTTAGCAGTATACATTGGCTTGTCTCATGGATGTTTGATCCATTTAATCTGTTTGCCTCTGTTAATGTCACATGTAAACCTGTGTCATAACTGTAATATTTGGTGTGGTCTAGAAGAGGCTGAATTTAACTGATTCTCTGTTCTTTCTTCTCAGCGTTTCTTCCTCATGCTCTTACAGAGTTTGTCCTGCTGCTACTGCCCTTGGCTTGCTCACTGGGGGTCTGGACCCAGACTTCGATACAGCTGCTGTGTGACAAGGTCTGTCATACAAAGCACTATGTAAATAAAACCAAACTTAAACTGATCTGACTGAAAGGAAAATATCTGGTGTATCTCTCTGATGAGAGGTTCAGTAAGTCTTAAACACAGTATTGGCAATCATTTAAGCTCTTCTTGGTGAAAGAACGGTATACTGTAAAATGCAGAAAAGAGCAGAACATGCTTTGAAGTGTTTCTGAGATTTTAAGTGATGTCTAATATTGCTTTTGTTCATTTAAATAAAAAAATTTGCTTTGCATTCACTGCATGAAGTAATTTTTTAGGTTGAAAAGACAAACCATTTTTTACACTGTACTTAATAAAAGAAAACATGCTACCTCAAATCACTGCATTAGATTTTTTAAGTGTCCTTCCATTATCTGCACTATTCATTTTCTGCAGTTCCTTCTGTTCATTTTTTATCAAAGGTGTTAACTGTTCTTGACTCGCTGTTAATGTACCAGTCCTGACAAACACTTTTCTGCTTATGCAACCAGTATTTTGGCATTTGTATGAAAACTCTGTGTTTGTAAGTGCGTTTGTAGCCTGTTCCCTCATCCATCAGCAGCCTTATAAAAACATAAATACAGTAGCTCTTATCATTGCTAAAGTAGTTTCAGTAATGTCATCAATAAGTAATTTCAAAATGGAGGACAGACTTGGAGCAGAGGCTCGCCGGCACATTGTAATCTCTCAGTTGGGTTACTGGAGCATTTCTACATGACTGAGTGGAGCTCATCTCCCGTTTCTGCTGCACTCGGTTTATTAGGCTGAATTATCTCACGCAGATAAGTCATTATGGTGCAAAGTGCTGATTTATGATCATCACTTTGGGCTGATTTATAATCAGCAAGATGGTTGAAATGCCTTATTACGTAATGCTTAATTGTCTCGTTAAGTGAGCCAGCCTGGGGTGTGTTCGCTCAGCTGGAATGAGAGCAGCATGATGACATTTCCATGGTGCAGCTCGACACATTTTGTACAGAGCTCCACTTCAGAGGGGAATAAATCATACCTGGAGGGTGATCTACCAACTGTAGCTACTGCTGTCTGAGAAAGCCATATAGGTTGCATGAGCTTGTGAAGTAAGCACAACACTGACCATCTACCATACATGCTATTTTACCAGATTCTGAGTGTAAAAAAGTGTTTTCCAGCTCACAGGAAGAGGGTGTTGCTCGCACAGTATCGTAGTGATGCTCTACTGAATAGCTCTGAGAGACTCTGGAGGGGTGGCTATGCAGACAGCCACATGGAAAGGCTCATGGTAGGTGCGGGCCCTCCAACAAAGGGACTCCTTGTGTTGTTAAATGTTGTTGTTTATTAGTTTAAGTTATGTGTATGTGTTACTTGTGTTATTCTGGGTTGTGGAGTGGGCTATTATCTTATATTATTGTGTGTGGACTATGTAAAAAATAGCAATGATAACGATAATAATAATTATACAACAGTTAGTTCCGGCCACGCAAGCCGATTGGTTGAGAAGTGTTCTAACCGTGCTGTTATTTCGCCATAACATTACAGGTTTTTCACAAACTCTGTATCACTCCGCTGAAACGCCGTTGCTAAGCAACGACTTTGACAGCTGTAGGAGACGCTCAAGCCATTTGAACGTTTTTACTTACTTCTTCGCGCACAAACAGAAAATGGATACTTTTAAGATCACATTTGACCTACAGCCGATTTGGTCAGACTCTGAAGATGAGACTACACAGTTGGTCTGTGTAAGGAGCTGGAGAACGAACTGCCGGCTGTGCAGCGAGTGAGTGGAGCTCGTAACTCTGACGTAGCAACAAGCTGCTTGTTAAGGAACTATAATTTGGTTGAAGGAATTGCTAACACTAAAACATATTAAATGCCACATGCACGGCCCAATTTATTTATTTCTTACTTTATGTATGGGGAATTTGGCTTGTACCTGCGACCAAATCACAGCCGTGATGTTATTTTGCGATAACACACTCCCTCTCGTGTTCTATTGCTTAAATATAACAGTCGACACACACGAAAAGCACCATTTTCTAAACCGCAAAGAACGATTTAAGCATTCAGGATGGTTCTTTAAGGTCTTATGCTTCTGTAAGCATTTATATTTACTTTAAAAATGTAGGTACACTGTATTTTATACTGTTGGTAAATATATAATGTTAAAACAGTGTCTTGCATAATTATTGGAATTCTTGGTAAAGGTGAACAAAAAGGCTAACAAGTCAAGTCTGTTATCAACTTAATCTTACAATGGAAATGAGAGAAATGTGACCTTTAATGAGAAAAAATATTCATTCTGATTCATTCATAAATGATTAATTAAAAGAAAAACACTCAAGGGATTTAAAATGACCTCAAAGTCGTAACAAGGCACAGAGCAGCATTCTCCACTGAAATTAGTATCCCTTCAGTTGGCTTGCATTTTAAATTTCTCAGAATATCTTCAAAGATGGAAAGGAAGAGCATGATTAGGAGTTTTGAGACTTACAACTTTTCCTGGAAGGCCAGGTTTTCCATCCTCTCCTGGTTTACCCTAGTAAAAAAAAATAGAAAAAAGTGTGTTTCATCATGTCACTGTACCCATGTCTACATAGCATTTCTGGGTTGTTGCACTGCATGCACTTAACCCTCATGTTTGTCTGTCTAGTATGTATGTTTAATATGTCTTACAGGTGTGCCAGCAGATCCTGGAGGTCCTACAGGCCCTGGGGGCCCCTGAGGTCCTCTGAGTCCTGGTAGACCCTGAGAAAGTAGCAAAATGCATATTGCAATGCTTGTCACAAAACATGCCTTCATAAGCCATTAAAGATTTTCACTTTGTGCCTCATCTGTGAGAGATGAGGAAAGCGTAATCTCCCTCTAGTGGATGAAGATTAAAACCATGCTTTTAAAAAAGACAGATGGAGAGCAATAACATTTACTCACATCTCGGCCAGGTTCTCCTGATTTACCAGAGTCACCCTGGAAAACATTAGACATCATGGTCACCGCAGTAGTGGAATTATCTTAAACTCACATTAAAGTCACAATCAGAGCTTTCTGAACATTCATCAGAAAGACTCATTAATTAACCATTGAGCAATTTAATTGATCAATATGTGCTGAAAGCCCAACATATTTGCTGGATTTTCAAATCATATTATGAATTACTTATTTTCTCATCTCTGCTTTCCTTATCACAAATTCATATAGACTGTTTTCATCTCTAGAACACAGTGCATTATGAGTGTGTCTTACAATCCATTTTATTTTATCCAAAAGAAAAAAAAACACTTTTAAAATGTATTCTAAAATGTATTTTATACTTTTAAAATGTATTAATATGTATTTCTCAGATTATCCCAGTAAACTGAAAATCAACATCAGCTCAATGCATATGTGAGCACAGTAGTCCTTTAAGTTTCTACAGTGAGATTTGCATTTAGAGAGCATGTGATCTGACCCTTAAACCAGCAGGTCCGGGTGGTCCAGGCTTTCCATCCTGACCAGGGCGTCCATCCAATCCAGCAGCTCCTCTCTCTCCCTGAGAGTGCCCACACACACACACACACACACACACACACACACACACACACACACACAAATACATACACAAAATCAATAACCACAGATGCTGTGGATGTTTAGAATGAATAACTGTGTCAGGGTAAACAAGATGATAACCTTGGTGAAACAATGCACATGTACGTGGATTAATACCAATAATTATGTGACAATTGGACAGTCTACACAAAGCATTACACAAACCATACGAAAGTCTTGATATTAGATATAGCGTTGCATGTAAAACTTGTTTAAAAAAAAATCAAGTGTGTTATAACAGAGTAATTATTTACAGACTAAATATGGTGGAATTGACTGATTGACTGAACAATTATACAGCAACTTTGGACCCAATCACATTAACTGTTGTCTTAAACTGGACAATGACATTCTGCGAGCTTGTACCTTCTCTCCTGGGCTGCCTCTTTCGCCTGGATCACCCTGTAGAGAAGCAATAGATGTGACTCATGATTTGTAGACTAGGAGTGGGCAATATGGCATACATATAACGTCACAATACGTCAAGACATTTTCACAATACACAATAGACATACTATATTTACTTTTTCAGAGGTTTGATAAAATGAAACAGAGAAAAAATAACCAGCAGAGACATTTAAAAAAACACTGTCAATACAAAACCAAAAAGCTATGAATACAATGACTTTATTCAACATTTCACATTCTGAACTGCACTCAATCCAATTAAAAAGGATTAATTATGCTCCTTTTAAATGAAACATGCAGTTAATCAGTTTTTTAAGAACTGACGATATCCATATGTTCAGAAAAGTATTGTGATGAAATGTGACAATTTATCACGAAACAATAAATATTGTCAAATATTGCTCACCCCTACTGTACACTATGGTAGAGTTAAGCTGATCATTTAGATGTTGAAGACACCAAGACAGTCTGACACAAAAAGCAGACTCTAGACGGGATGGTATTAAATTTTTTTATCATGATATCTGTGACCAAAAATATCATGGTTTTTAGCATTATTGTGGGGAATGTGTTTAAAAAGCACTAATACACAAGTAAATAATTTCACCAGTGGCATTATATTGACTTTTATCGTCTTTTATTGTCTTTATAACACCAAAAACAACTTTTTAAAAAAGAAAATACAAAATTCTGGTTTATGGTTCAGATTATAAATATGTTATCCTAGAGTGCACTTTGCAGGGAGACTGTAGCAGTAGGCTATTTACTTTCACCCTGACAGACAGTAATTGTGCACAAATTATTATTAGGAATTCTTAAAATGTGAAACATAATAATAATAATAATATTATTATTATTATTATTGTTATTAGGGGGTTTTATACCACAATATATCATTAAAACCAGAAACTGTCCTATCCTTCAGCAGACCATGAACCAAACTTAGAAAGACACAAACAGACAGACAGACTATGACACAGAATACCATCCAAAAAGACTCAGGTGTTTTACTTACTCTGGTTCCTGCAGGTCCACGTTGACCCTCAGGTCCCTGAAATAAAAAAAGAAATAGTTAACACAAAACAAGCAACAAAATTCAGAAACGTTTCTACAGAGTGAACACACTACAGTCCTTACCCGTACTCCTGAAGGGCCTGGAGGTCCTATATCACCTTGCTGACCTTTACTACCATGTTCCCCAGGGTCACCTGCCTCTCCCTAATTAGGATACCAGCAGCAAATTATTATGTTTTTATGCTGATATTTTGGCAGTAGCAAACATAGTAACAAATGTTTAAGGGCAGAATGAAATATACAGTCTGGGGGGGGTGGGTTGCAGGCCACATGGACTTATGTGTGTATGCATATATGAATTTTGTACTGTACCTTCTCTCCTCTGTCTCCTTTCAGTACTGTCTGCCCATCTGCCTAAAATACAAAGGCAAAGTATTAACAAAAATAGAAACAAAGAAGGCAAGATAACAATGCTAAAGTAAATGCAGACTTACTACATCTCCAGGGGGCCCAGGGGGACCTTGAATCCCCTACAGTGAAAACATAAAAGAGCATATAATTTGCCTGTCAATGCATGGTTGTGTAAGTGCACCAATAAAGAACAGCGCATGCATGTTTGATTTCACACCTGATCTCCCTTTGGCCCTCGTGGTCCTGCAGGTCCTGGAGCTCCCTGTGCATAACACAGCACTGTTCACAAACAACCAACGCATGCAACACTGAACACAACATTAATCATTCATGTTTAATGTGATTTATGCAGTTCTGCAGTTTAAATTGGGCACAGTACCAGCACTTTTAATTTATGACTGTCAGAGTGCCTGCATTTTTCATAGCGCAGTGGTGTTTCTTGGTGAAAGCCAGCACACTATGTGAGTTTGCCAAAACATGTCGGAATAGAAGGCATATGCACGAATAATGCCCAACGCATATGGTTTGTTTAACATGTTTGTCAAGTCACAGTCGGTGGCTACCACTTGTAACATGCTACAGAAAAGTGAACACAATCACCATCTTTGTACTACTACAGATTTTTGTACATCAGTGACCATAGAAATTTTACAGCTATTAAATACCTGAAAGTGAAACAGTTAGCTGTTGCTTCATGTGTGGTTTACAAGCAATGCCAGAAAATAATAAAATGATTTTTTAAGTGAAAAACAGGAAATATGATATTGAATACAATGAACTCCATCATCTTTGTATCTTTGCTAGAGAAATCATTCAAAGTTAGAAATATTTTCAGTGTGGATAATGTCTGAGGCATCTGTGTGATGATCTCTTACATTTCGTCCGTGCTCTCCAGGATCACCCATGTCTCCCTTTGCGCCTGGTTGACCTGGCTGTCCTGAAAGACCCTAAAATGTTAAGGATCAAAGGTTAGGATGCGCCTGACCTCCATAAGGAACAAAGGGCATTAGGATGGCAGACTAAAATGAGAAAAGAGTTGCGTATGATGAGGGTCTCCAGCTACTCACCCTCAGTCCTCGTTCTCCTGCTTTACCAGGCAATCCAGGCTCACCCTGAAAAGCACATAAAAGAATAGGAATATATTTACACACATACACACATACATACAAACACATAACCAAAACTGAAAATTTAAAACTCACTGGAAGGCCATCTTCTCCTTTATCACCTTTCAGCCCCTAAAGAAAGTAAGACAATATACTTGATTGAACGCCTTAATTAATGTCATGGTTTCTCAATGCTGACAGTTAAAAAAACAAAAACAAAAAACATTCAAGTGTGTACAAAATAACTCAAAGCCCACATGACATAATCATTGGAAATGTTTTAGGAACACCTATCATATAGCAGGTTTATGGTTACAGACCGTAACCCATCTGATGCTGTACATTTTATTAGCCCCTTCTACCCCATTCAATCAATGGAGACCACCATAGGAGCATCACTGGCAAGACATTATTTGGGTGGTGGACCATTCTCAGCACAGCAGTGATACCAACACTGTAGTGGCATGGTAGTGTGTTGTGCTGGTACGAGTGTATCAGGCAGAGCAGTGCTTCTGGAGTTTTTAAACACCTCAGTGTCACTGCTGGGCTGAGAATGTGCACTGACCAAAAACCACCCAACAAACAGAATTGTGGGGTCAGAAACTGACCACTGATGACGGCCTAGAGGATGACCAGGACTAACAGTGTCTGGAAATAGATGAGCTACAGCCTCAAACTGTTAACCTAAAAAGTGTACCAACAAGGTAGGTGTGTCTAATACAGGCGACAGCAACTGTGGCCAGCAACACCACTGTTTCTGATACACTCAGACCAGTGCAATACACACTAACATGCCACGACCATGTCAGCGTCACTTCTGTGCTGAGAACGATCGACCACCCAAATAAAATCTGTGCCTGTATTCACAAAGCTTCTCAGAATAGGAGAGCTGATCTAGGATCCGTTCCTCCTGGTTTTAGCACTTCAGACTAGGTCCGCAGTGGTCCTGGTGTGGTCCTACGGTGCTGACCAGAGCAAGGAAAGCTCTATAAATTTGACAAGCAATCTGTTGAAGCATATAATCATGCTAATATGAAACTACTAATAGATAAAATTCTCTGTGCTGTAGAGAGAGCCCCAAAGTAACCTAAGCAGATCAAATACGATTTTCATTCATGAAGAGTTTTGTAAGATTTACATTTTATTCTTAAAGGTTTTATTTTGAGACAGCTGTTTCTACTGGCTAGTTTCTGGGTTTTCAAACAGCATTAGCCGTTCATAATTTTAATCAAGCAAAACATTCATTTTGAGTTTCAGAGAGTAACATAGAAGTGAAGTAATGAGTAATGAGATTACATTTGCGAGGAAGTAATGAGTAAAGTCATCTCATTACATGTTTGAAATGAAGTAATGAATACTTTCTGGTGGATTCCTGTTTTGAGTGTTGTGACAGTGGATGCAAGGCCCGGTGCTGGAAATTGACAGCTGAGCCATGACAGTGCTCCAAAGCGTTCGCCAAGATGCTGAGAAGCCAGACCAAAACAATCATCAGCACCTTTGTTGTGGACCGCAGCACATGCAGAGGAAGGATGGTGCTGACTGATCGTACATGGCTGGCGGCCATTGAGGAGCACAGCTGCAGCACCAAGGGAGAGGGACAAGAAGGGCCACATAGGCAGCAGTGGCACAGAAGCTCTCCTGCTCCTTTTCTCCTTCTCCATCATCTGCTCCTTTTCTCCTTTTACCTCTCTCTCTCTCACCAGGCTTTATGGCAGACTCTGACCCATAAGTGGATTCCAGGCAGGTCTCATCACCCTCCGTACTCTGAGCTTTTCCCCAAGGGCCTGCCAAGGGTCCGTCTATGCACCAAAAAGCTTGAACACAGAGCCGTATTCTTTTTTTCCCTACCGCCTTAAAAGAGGAGTGTCTCTGGTATGTCTTTACCACTGATGGAGCAGGGCAGTGGTAGCTTTAAAATTTGTGCCCTTATATGGTAGGTTTACTTGATAAAATGGCCAATGACAATGAGTATTTCTGTTATTTTGTAAACATATTTTGTGTACCACAAAAAATAAGCATATTTATCTTCATTATAAATCCCATGAGATTATGTGGTATAACACAGGAGTGCTAAGAGGTAAGTCTGTGAAAAAGTGCTAGTGCATGATGAGTATGAGAAAGTGCATCAAGGTATTTAAAGGTGCATGCGAAGAAGCACATTAATTACCTTCATATCTCTATGGAAAAGAATGAGTGCAGGGAAACAACAGAGAAAAATGTTAATAGCTGTTACCTAGTTAGTTGCTATGATATAATATGCCTCAAACAGTCACCCCATCATAAAGTCTCCCAAGCTTTACGTTCAGTTATGGTCAGATGGTGGTATTCTCTCCAGAGTTATCATATATCATGACTTGCCATGTAATACTAAATGCTTGATATAAAATCTTATAGAATCCCAATATAAATCTTATGGCATTTTGTCAAGTGCAAAGACAAATGGAGTTCTCATAGAATGGCAGTTGGTCTCACATCTTTCCCTCTGGGTCCAAGTGGTCCTTGAGGACCAGAACTTCCTGGCTCTCCTCTCTCTCCTGCTTCCCCCTGGCTTCCCTGAAATATCATATGGGAAAACAGTGGCAAATTAAATATGATCCAGTCCAATATTACTGGTGTAATATCTCTACAGAGCTGCCAAAGAAACTGCCGATGATATCAAAGGGTGCACATACCTTTGGGCCTGGTCTTCCAGCTATGCCAGAAACTCCCTATCAGTAAATTAAATCGATATTTAAGATGCACAGGTACTTAGTATAAAAAAGTGAACTGTGAGCCACTGTGAACAGGAAATCTACGTTTCAACATTTTTTTTTACAAGGTAGAACCTCAAATACACAATATTTGTCTATTTTATGTAACCCGAGAATACAGAGAACAAAAGATACTAACCCGATCACCCTGCTCTCCTTTAGGTCCGGGCTGTCCAGGTGTTCCTGCTCCAGGCAGACCCTGAAAGAAAGTGTAAAGGAATAAAGGTCAAGTAGTAATATTAGTAAAGCATCATTAAAAGACTTTCTGTCTGATTTAAGCAGCAGAGCACAACCGTTTGGATTTTTATCATATCTGAGAACACCTTTCTATTTAAGGTTTTCCTGGACCTTAACAATCCTGAACAATCCATCAGCGAATATACTACTAAAATCTGGCCTACTGTTTTATCATATTGAAACTGCTGGTAGGTTAAAACAACAAACACTATTATACAGTTTCTTTTCTGAGCCACAAAAATCCAAATGACAAAACTCACCCTTTCCCCTTTCTGTCCTGGCTCTCCCTTTTCACCTGCGGGACCCTCAGGACCTGGATCACCTTTCTGACCCTGAAAGAGAAAAAGGAAGAGACAGTCAGAAGTCGTTGGGATGGGATTAACAATAAGAACATGAGGTAAAGAAGTTTACTTGTATTTCATTTTCTCCCTTCAACTAATAACATTTTTGTGGTTTTATGTTCCAAAAACATAATTAATACGTTTTTATTACAGTGTCTTTAACACTGACATATCTAAATGACCTCTGTTGTCTGTGGCTGCCTTGTCATATTGTGCCTTATTCAAAAGCAGCCTAGACTGAAACACTTCTTATAGCTTCAGGGAGAATGGGAGGGGCTAAACTGCTGTAAGCTGGACAGGCAGATGTATGTAAATGCGTTGGCTTTCGTAAGATGACTAAAAAAAATCTAAATGAGCAGTTCTGAATGCTTTCCATATATGGACTGTATGTATGGACTGGAGACTGAAAGGGAGTTTCAGGTTTAAAGATATTCATGGATATATAATGATATTTTGTATTAAAAATGATCAGTTGTTTATCATTCTTACAGCTGTCACTGAAAATTGTACCTACATACAATTTATGTTCAGTTGGGACTTTTACTGTTTTAATGATTGGCACTCAAAAGATATTGCAGTACTGACAGACTTTCCCTCAGTTGTCACAGAAGAGAATGTTTTTATGACAACAAAGATCTAAATCAGCCATATTTATCCAGCAATAAAACAAGCATGCACATGTTATTCCTCGCACCTGTTCTCCTTTCCTCCCAGCTGCCCCTGGACCCTGGAACCAAAACAAAAGCAAACAAGCCTCAGCCGAAAGACTTTATTACTAGAAAAATCAATGCATATATATATTTTTTACAACTCCTTTGATACCACATTTATGGTTTATAATACATGTTCTTAGGAAAAGATATTAGAAAAAATCTAAAATAACTTGTTCTGATGGGGTAAGTTAAGAGTTGAGTTCGGTTTACCTGTGTGTTCATACCTACATTTTATAATCTACAGTGCATTTGAAAGATATTAAGAGCTGCACTTTTATAAAGAATATGTTGTACAGACTTTATATTTACAAGCAATGTAACTTGACTTAATTAAGCCTTAACTCACACTGTCGCCTGGTTCTCCTTTAGCACCTGGAGCTCCCTGATGACAAAGACAGGATGAAGATGAATACACAGCAGAAAAAAGCTCTGAAGTGCCATCATTTGCTGTACTAAAATGAAGCGTTCCCTACCTTCTCGCCAGAAAGTCCAATTGTGCCCGGTAAACCCTGGGAAGCATACATATAAACATATAAACAAATTTACAACTCGCAAATACATGTATGCACTTTTACAAATTAGCCACAAGCTATAAGACTCACCCTGAGTCCTTGAGGTCCTGTGGGTCCTAGTCTACCTGTGTCACCCTAATACCACCACAAAAAAGGAAAGTACCCTCAATATTCATAATATATGTGAAGGAACATTACACACCACCCTGTTGCTATAATATCAAAACATTGTAGATTCTCTTTTCTTTTTTTGTTTTACACTGCTTGAAAACACAAGCTACCTTTTGGTCCAAAATTACTTGGAAAAAATCTCTGTACATTAACATACATTAAAAATTAAGAATGCTTTTTTCTCCTCCTATAACGTTACCATTTCAGAGATACAATATTTTATTGCAACACTGATGATATGCTTATAAAGTGTATTTATTTTTAAACTAAAAACAACAGAGTTACATGAGACTCACCTTCTCTCCTGCTGGGCCAGATGGGCCTCTCTCACCCTGATAAAAAAGACAACATAGAGACAGTGCAGACATGAAGGTTCAGGTGATCCAAAAATATTTTTCAACAATCAACGTTCAAAGTTCAGCGTTAAAAATCAAAGTTCACCCATAATCAGTCTGTCAAATCTGACAAAACTAATCTTAAATATGCCACTCTGTCAAAGGGATTGTATGCCACTCAGTAAAAAGAATCAACACTAGTAGAAACTGTTAAAGAATAACTGTTAAACAGTTGGCTGAAGAGGAAGAGATTGATGTAGCCCACTGACACCATCATTATCTCATGATGAATCATCATGATTCTTATTCAGCTTCATTCAGATAGCCAGATGATAAATATCATCCACAAATCATCCAGAAACATTCACTCACTTTGTCACCCTGTGATCCAGGCTGTCCTGGCTGCCCACGGTCACCCTAGCAAAGAGAACAGAGATGACAGTTTATTTCTTGCCTTTTTTCAAGTTTGTAAGTTTCTTGTAATGTAGTTTCAAAGTTCAAATAAATCACGCTTTTCAACCTTGCTTCCGATTTCACCTGGAGGCCCTCTTGGACCCTAGAACAATATATATGGACAACAACTGTAAAAGTACTGAAATTCAGTAGGCAGCAATAAACAATACATTTTTTGTCAAAACCTCAGTGTCCCAGCATTAACCATAAAAAATCCAGCATAAAGTGTAAAACACCAAAAGCTGAACCCTCAGAATTTAAATTTCAGTTACACTTTCAAATTACAGTGTATTTTTTTGCACAACTGTGGCTGTTCTTATGTTTCACTGTGCATAAGTGAAGCTGTGTGAGGTGGGTGAGTCAGTAAATTAAGAAATAAGTAATATATAAATTATAATAATGTGTGTTGCTTGTGTTGTGCACGTGTAAGCTGTCACACCCGATCACCCGGCTCTCCTTGTCTCCCTTGGGGACCTGGACTGCCTTCTGTGCTCTCTCCCTGAAATACACAGTAAAATTCACAGTTAACATGTTAAATATACATGACAAACATACAACCTTCTCCATGCTGTGACACACAGAGAAACTGAATTTCAATGCAAGGGAACAAATACAGATGCACCCACATTTATGCATAAACAAACAAGCTGAGGCGGCACAAAAACAAGAGTTAGAAAAACCTCACAGGTTCTCCTTTGGCTCCTTTTTGTCCAGACAGTCCTCTTGGGCCCTGTGGCCCTGCTGGTCCTGGGCTCCCCTGCAAACACAAAAACATAAACATGATTTTCATTACATAATACCTCTGTCTTACTGAATGTCTCATCAGAGACACATTCAGAAGCTTTCATTTTGTTCCCTTTAATTCATTAAAATCTGCAACCAGAAAGTTGGTATACGTGCATGTTCATGCTGGACATAGTAAAATGGATCAACGTGGGACTGGAGTCTCCTGTGTGCTACTGAGTTTTCTATCAGTATACAAACAGAAATTTTGCCTCAGTATTAAAGGGTTAAATTGGTTATACCCACGTCCGTTCTGAAAATAGTAAAATTTACACCTGTAAAGCCATTTTTGTCCACAAAACATGATGATACGTTATGATTCTCAAATATACAAATGATCAACACTTTCACTTGAAACATAAAAAATACAAAAGTTACAGCATTTAAATGTGTTTCTGTATAATAGTTACAGTTTGGTACATGAATTCAGATCCTGTCTATGATAGTTACAATGATACAATCACATGTCCCATCTCTTTCTATAGCATTTTAGATTAGATTTCTGAATTACTTTGATTATCTTTAATCAGCATGTTATTACTGAACGCACACACACAAACGCTCTCTCTCTCACACACACACACACAAACACACATACATGTTCTAAAAGGGATTTGGAAATGAGGACACTTACAGGTTCACCTTGATCTCCCTTCGCTGCCACCCCACTCCCCACTCCTGGAGGACCCTGTCAATCAGGAAGAGAGCAGGGAAGATATCAGTGCAGGATAACGTAGATAATATAATGTAATATATGTATATATTTGTAATTAGAGAATTCATTATGACTCACCCTTTCTCCTTGCTCCCCCTGAGTAAAAGAGAGTAATGATTATAAATGTGCTTATCTTTTAAAAAGATCTACTAATGACTGATCTTGTAGATCCTAAAGATCCTTGTAGAAGAGCTGATTCAGTGTATGAGTAATACAAAGCCTTCGATTTTTCCTGAGATTTTTTTTATCTTACAACAGTGTGATGTTGATTCTAGGGATGAACTGAGATTTAGGCCACTGAACATTTCCGGCTAAAAATCAAAAACGGCGCCTTCCACTGAAAATTTTAGCCAAAAGAAAAAAGATAACAAATACTAAAGAGGCCAACAACAGAGTATCAAAATGTAAAACTTTACAAAAATGGAAATGGAAATGAGAGACAGTGATTAATAATGCATTTTTTTTGCTTCACTTTCACAGTCACTGCACACACATTCAAGCAGATCAGCAAGGAAAGTGTCATCTGTGTGGAGGTATTTAACAATTTCTATGTGGCACTTCAGATAAGCATTTGCAATCACTACTCATCCCAAATATTAACAGGGACCAAGGATAACTCATTATAGGACTGAGACCACTTGAAAAATGCTTGATACACAATACAGCAAAACAATAAAAGCAGGAAAGAAAGCCCTGTGGGCTGGTAGACACCAACTGTATGAGTGTATTCAATCCACCATCTGTATTGAATAAACAAGTGCTACCCTAAAGAAATATGTAAAGAAACTTTTAATCTGTCATTACTCAGCGTTATTATATTAATTTGGGATTAATTAACTTAGTCAAAGAAGATGTAGCAAGTTTCACCTTGTGATGATTTCTGGTACTAAACAAACAACACCCCCCCTCCACACATACACACACACACACACACACACACAGAATAGAATGAGTGATTATATCGCACTTTTATTGACAGGCCAGGTGTGCCTGGTGTCCCAGGACGACCTGGCACTCCAGGAGCTCCTGCCGTTCCTTTTGTCCCGTCTGCTCCCGGCCGACCTGGCGTGCCCTACAGAGACACAGAGAGGTGCACTCAATAACTCAAAACAAGCCACCAAGAAAAGTAGCCACTGTAAGAGTTTGACTTTATATTACTGTGTGTTTCATACAGGTATTCCAGGTATTCCTGGTTCTCCTTTGCGTCCTGGAAGGCCTCCTCCTATAGACGATCCAGGCTCACCCTGAATAATAAGCATGTGCAACACTTTTTTTCAATTAAAGACACAAAATTAACCCAACCATTCAAATAAATCCTGGCAGTGATAAAATCATCCTTGGTAATGCTCATCTTTGAGCAATAAATTTGTGAACGTTGTGTTTAAAATTTATCGCTTTCTGACTAACAGCAACCAACTACAAATTCTGAACAATGCAAAGTAAACCACCTTTGTACCCTGCAGCAAGATCGCCATGACAGTCTAATGTTATGTTTGGAAGGCCCATCTGAATGCACTATAAAACAAGGAGAGGAAGGTCTTACCCTGTCACCTTTGTCTCCTTTTGATCCAGGGGATCCTGCAATACCAGGCTCTCCCTACAAAAAAGAAATACATATAAAAACTGAAATATATTTGTGTCTGTGTGAGTGAGTATCTGTGTGGGCAAGTACTCACAACGTCTCCTCTGACTCCAGGTAATCCCTGAGAGCCCTATAAGAAAGAAAAAGAGTTCAGTTACAAACCTCTGATGATTTAAAGCTTGAAGTCATAAAGCTATAACTTGGTGATAATCAGATTATTGCTTTGCGTATATTGCACTGCCGTCCATAACAGTTCGGAACAATAACAGATATTTAATTGGTTGCACTATTGTAACCACAGTTATTCCCAATGCCTTATTAGTTTATTTACCGGAGGTCCTGCAGCTCCAGGAGCACCGGGACGACCAGGGACTCCTGGACTCCCATCTATACCTGGAAAACCCTATAAGACAGAAAAAGAGGGAGATATGACAAGTGAAAGTAGGGAATTGTTAAACAGGTTGCTAAACACAGCAATATGTAGGGGAAATGTCACTCTACATGTCAGTTTGTGTTTTATTGATTTTTTTGCAAGGGTTTGAGGCAAATTGTGAAGTAAGTCTTTTTTCAAGGGAATTTACACAGTTTATTATAGTGACAGAAGGATCAATCAACTGTAAGAGCAACAAGAGCTTTTGATGGTTAAAAACAAGCACAAGTATCAAAAAGGCCACTGAGTAGTTAAAGATAGGCCAGAGAAAAATAAGGTAAAAACAAGTAATAAGATAACTAAGTTGCTTTTTTGTTTAGAACAGCTTCAACAATCTTGTTTGGAATGCTGTTCTAAGTTCCAGCGCCTGTTATAAGTTTCTGAGGAAAAACACACCATATGTAGGTCAACCCATTACACCAAGTTATGTTTTAAGATTCAAGTTTTTAAATTATTACAGCAGTCTTTGTTTTTATTTCAACACAGACTTTGATTATAGATGGTCACAAAAGGTTAGCACAAGTTTTGATTTAGAGGCAGCGTTTCTCTGTGTATGTGTATGTATATGTATATGTGTATGCACAATGCATAATCTATAATGAATGTATTGGACTCCTTATAAAATTGCATTCACTTCAACATACTGTAGGTCCCCTGGTTTGTCTGCCATTTCTACTGGTTTATCTAACCTCTGCTTGTTACAAGAGAGCTGGCAGCAGTTACCTTCTCTGGTTAAAACAGATTTTGTTTCTGAAGAAAAACACAGTTTAAAAACGTTTCGGCAGATTAAGCACAAAAGCAAAAGTGGTGGATGAATATCGTGCAGATTTAGTATGCCTTAGATATTAATGTACTGCATGTGTGTCCTCACCCTTTCTCCTTTTTCTCCTTTCTGTCCTATTACTGGTCCCTCACTGCTTCCTGGCAGACCAGGGGGTCCCTGAGGGCCTCTTGGGCCCTCACGACCAGGTATGCCATCACGACCCTGACATACACACACACAAATACACAAGTTTATAAAAATGCCGGTTCTAATTATAGTGTGGTACATAAATAATCTATCTGTATAACTTCCAGACAGAAAGTGAGGAATGATGATTAACTCACAGGTTCTCCTTTTCGTCCAGACACCCCATCTCTGCCTCTTTCCCCCTAAAACCAAAACCAGCATTAATTAATACTATCATATAATATAAAAATATCATACTAAAAAATATTGAGAATATTTCTTGATTAATGCTCATGCACAAAAATATGATCCATACACAGATAAAATAAATAAAATAATTACATGGTTTAGATGTTTCTACAATAACAAAATCTTTCAAAATATTAATTTATTTATTGACTTAGCACCATAAACACAACTGAAGCATAAGTGGTAGTAAGAAAAAAACTTGTTTGGTTGTCCATCTCCATAACGGTGGCTTGTTAATTTACAGGTGGTGTATGCTAATCAGAGTTATGGAGACAATAAGGTTCAATATACTGTATACTTCTATTGTTTTTTTTATCAGTAGACATGACTTGACAGGGCACATAAAGGCAGGAACAAATGTCTGTATTACACTAGCAAATAATACAGGAACAGGCCACATGTCTTCATGCAGTTCTGCTTACCATAATAATGAAATTATTGTGTATCTATAACCAAAACTGCTACAGTGGTTTAGCCACATTACTATGCACAGCACTTGTTTATAGTGCTTTAACAACAGTCTTTTTTTACCTTCTGTCCTGAGTCCCCTTTTTCACCCTATAAGAAAGGTAGAAACATTAATCACAACAATACATTTATGACAAAATAATTATTTTACATATGTGCATCTGTGTGCAGTTATTTACCGGGGGGCACTGGGCAGTGCACTGCTCTGGAATAATAACCTTTACCAAACACAAACACAAACCATCAAAAAACAGCCTGACATCACAGTTCAAAATTTCAAACTAAATATCACTTCAGTTATTCATATTCAGTTATTATGTTGATAAATCTAAGAAATTTCATGAAATAAAATGTTTTCATGTTACCGGGCCAGTAGTCCCTCTTGCAAGGCCGCAGAGGAGGTCTGCCAGTTCTGGGTGCAGTCTGTAGAGATCGGCTGTATCTCGAGCATACAACAGATTCTGAGTGCTGCCATCTGTAACAGCCCGACGCAGCTCCCCCAAGTCTGCACGCCCGATTCCTACGGCCAGCACTGTCACACCTGAGACACATGGGGTTGTCTGAACGTTATACCAGAGACAGGAAAATCTTCGAATGTTCAACTCTTTACGATTGATGTAAAAATATGCTACTTCTGTGTAGTCTACTCTTCTCCACTAAAGACATAATCTCTCAATACTGCTGTCATATAATTTTGATATGTACAGAATGTACATATCAAAACTGAAAGCTCAGAAATTGTTATTTAGTTCGTGTCACAAAATACCTTTGTGAACAAAAAACGCATGAATTGGAATCTGGTCATCCAGACCTATACTGTTACTCTGATTAAAGAAAACGATAGTAATTGATCAATGATCTGAAGTGCAAGGCAGTATGATGCTTCTTTTATACAGTGATATAAAACATGGTAAGACATAGAAAGCTCCAATTCTACACGCTGATACATTTTACAGTGGCCAACGTGGACATGCACATGCCTTAACTACTCTCTACCAAAATCATTTCTGGCAAGACAATTGGTTTGACCTCCTAGGTTCCCCATGATGTATACTCTTCTTACATTTTACTTCATTATTTTTACTTGTAGCTTATTGAAATAAGTGAAAAAATGATCTTGAAAGTCTGTATTCCTCATATTCAATCCATGCCACAGTTGTGTTTCTACATTTATTTTATCATAATTAGAATCTAATGAAAAGTCATGGCTGTCAGGCACGCGTCACCAGTCTTATCCACACGATCAGTGTGGCTGCAGGTTTTCATCCCTATCGAACACACCTCATATCACTAAACAGTTGTTTGAAGACTGAGACTAAATGATTAAACACACTGGCCCTGGTGACCCCTGGTGTGCAGTGTTGTTTTGTGGCAAAAAAAATCCTTCAAAGTTTTTGTAATTTTTTTTTAAGGAAAAAGTCAGAAGTATAGACTTAAACTTGACAACAGAATGTAAACCTAAAGTATAATAACAAATTATTATATACATTCTTAAAAAAAGTAAATAAAGGTAAATAAAATGATTCTATACAGATCCATGAACACTCAAAGAACAATTTCCATTCTTAAATGGCTCTTATCTGACTGTTACCTCACTGATCCCTTTCTTTGCCACTATACACCCTTTAACGGCTGCTGCACTCAGCACTTTAACTTAAGACACATACTTTGCACATTGAAAGGTTTACAGGTAGGACTCTATGTGTATGTGTGTGTGTGTGTGAATGAGTGATGGTAGGAATGTTTGTTTTATTTAATTTTTATTTTATGTTATTTTATTTTATTTTATTTTTATTTTATCTTATTTACTACATGTAAATGTTTGTCAGATACTTGTGCACTGTGAACTCCTGTAACCAAAACCATGCTTACACATACCTTATTGGCCAGGTATGTGTAAGCATACCTGGCCAATAAAGCTTGATTCTGATTCTGATTCTTTGCATGGTGAAATGTTGTGCTGTTTATGGTTCTATACAGCACCGAAAAGGGTTTTGCTATTGTTACAAGCTTGACGTCATAACAATATAACCATTTTCAAAAAGGTTCTTCCATATACAACACATTCTCCAATAATCTGAAGAACCATTTCACCATGCAGAGAACCATTTAAGCATGGAAATAATTCAAGGCTCAATATAGAACCAATGTCTTTACTAAAGAACACTTAAAGAACCATTTTTTTAAGAATTTAGCAATGTAGTTAATTATGTGACTGTGTAATTACATGCAAATAATTATGCAATATAAAAACATCTAGCAAATTTGCAATAGAAAATCTAGGCTTCTAAGTTGAAAGGGGAGTAAAGAGGGTGGAGTTGTTACGACAGAGTGTAACGTATGCATGAGCAACTCACCAGAAGCCTTAACTGCAGCAGCAGCTCGGCTAAGATCATCAGTTGATTTTTCATCAGCAATAATGACGACCACACCCGGAACCTGAGGCCTTCGACCTGCATTCACACTCAGCGCAAACTGCCGAGTGAATGTCATCGCCTGACCTAAATACACACACATAATTTCACAATTATCTTGTCAAACAGCACATGCACAAACCCAGACAAACAGATAATTACACAAAAAAACATGTAACTGCAGAAACATTCATACAAAATTCTATACTAAAAATTACATCTACATAAGACCAACACACTGAACAAAGCACCAAGATTCCACACAGACCTATACTATTTCCTGGTTCATCAATAAAAGGGGTAGATAGAATTTCCCGCAGAAGAGTTTCACTGTTGCTATGCTGACTGAGGGGGAAGCGCAAACTGGGTTCATCACTGTAGACCACCACCCCCACCTGGAGTAAGAAAGCATTACATGTAGAAACACACAGTAATTCAGTACGCAACAATTACATTTACACACTCACCCAACAGCCCACCCACTGTCTCTTCTACTCACTCAGTCTCCCACTAACTCACTCACCCACTAACCCACACACTCACTCACTCACTCATTCATTTACCCACTTACTCACTCACCAGCTTATTCTCTCGAACATTCACATACACTAAAATCACAAACCACACATAATTCCATAATGCCTCCTCTGAAACAAAGACTCTGAATAAGTATCTTCACATCTCTATTCATTTAAGATGAACTGTTGGAGCTGATTATTGATATTAATGTACATACATCATAAGCTAACTAGCTAGGTACAAATGTGTTTCTCTGAGCCATTTAGCAACAGTCAGTTGGTAAAACAGTAGGCCAATCTTCATAGCAATGCTTGGCTGTCAAATTTTATAAAAATCAGTTTACATGGAACAGGTTTACTGTATGGACAAATCTTTGACTTAGTTTTCTCATTTGTGACCTGTAAGCCATAATGCTTTGAAATGGCTTTGGATTTGGTCTTGGACTTTGGATAACGGCAAGTAATCTAGACTACTTAAAAGCTGAGGCATAATTTTAAAAAATTAGTCAAGTATTGACTAGCATAAGGGTTATGCTCTTATATTACTGTAAAAAAGTACAGTAAACAGTTACAGTAATGGACCTTAGCTCCGTCTGCTGTCCACACCAACCAAAGGTGCCAGAGCTCCATTCATGTGCGCTCTGACCCTGAACCAGAGGGTACATGTCACTGCGCCACCTAGACCCACCTGTGAATCCCTAGCGCCAATTGTAGTGAGGGATCCAGCAGCACTTGAAAGCAGAGACAGCAGAGGTTCCTCAAGAGCAGACCGATCACGAGAGGCAGGAACCAGAAACACCACATCCAAACGGCCATCCTCACACACTGAGAGAAGAGAAAATCATATAGATCTCCCTCAGGTCAATCAAGCAGTGGAAATAGTTCTCAAACTCTGATTTACACTATATATTTTTATTGATATTTTTATAACCACTATTAATATTAGTTAACCCTTAGTTTGTGATCGCCAAGGATAAGTTAAGGTTATTACCAGCTATATCTAAAGCAGGGTGTAATTTAATATGAATTACTTTTCAATTGTAGTTGAGTAAAACTAATAGTTCTGCTAAAGGGGAAATCTAAACTTTCAATCAATAGCAGAGGAGATATTTTATTACGATTTGAATTTGAGAAGTCATTGTTATGAGCTTGTTTCATGGAAAGAAAAAGGTTTTGTTTTCTTTTTTTTTTACATTTTTGCCAAATTTCGTAATCAAAAACAAAAAATCTAGAGGTGCAGACTCAACCTCATCAAAACAGAATGTAAAACAATGTAAATGTAATTCGTCATGTCAGTAGTTATGTAATTATGTTGTATTAAAATAGTGTAGTTAATCAACTATCAACGTTCCAGTTAGTAAGAAACATGAATCATTTTAACCAATGAAAGTAAGTAAACTAGCTGTTTTAAAATTACAGAAAAAAAATTGAACATCAAATAATAAGTTATCCTAACAGAACAATGGGGTTACATTCATGGGGTTACATTCTGTTCACTCATTATTTGGAGTTCAATAATATTACACATTTAAGGCAGTCCAGTTACATTTTTTTTCAAAACTCCAAATCAGTTTTTAAAATGCATTTTTAGGGTTTGAGGAAAAAACAAGACACATTTATTCATCACCTCAGGGGCTTTTAGCGTAGATGAACCTGTAAACATATGCTAAACAATTCTCACCTTAATAGGTAAAAGACAAAAGGGAAATCGTGTAACCTGTGCGCTCTTCCACGATGGCCTCGGGGCCGATGCTGTTGAAGAACGATGGCTGCAGAGTGAAACGGTATCGACGGCCCAATCTCAGACCGGTCACACGGAATGAGCTAGTCGTACCAGGAAGAGTCAGTGTCTGAGCAGTGCCTGGGTCTAAAGCAATTACACTCAGTTACACACACTTAAACACACCTTTCTCTAAAACAACTCTCAGTGGTCATGCGCGTCTCACCTCTCTCATCCTGCCAGCGCAGCGTGTATTCTGTAACACCTGATACTGGATTCCAAAGCAGCAACACAGAGTTCTGTTTAATATCTGCCACCCTGAGGTCTGTCACACGCTGCAGTGAAGCTGAGAGGGCAACATATATAAAGTAAGATTGCAGTAATTTGCAAGACAAAAAAGATGTTGTGTCATAACAAAGGAATGCTGTCATTTTGTTAGGGCTGTCAAAGTTAACACACAAGCACATCAATATGATTAATTATTAATGCCACTATTTTTTTTACATTTACAAAATGTAAATCGAATATAAATATAATTCATTACATAACTAAGTTTGATTAATAATATCATTATTTAATTACATTTAAACAGTACAACAATAGTAACGCTTAAGGATTAGTTGGTGATTTAAGATGTGTGTGTTGTTATTATTCTGTACCAGTGTATTCTGTGATGGTGACAGCTTGACCTTCTCTGCCTCTTATCACAGGAGCCAATCGTACAATGTAACTCAAACCAGGACGAAGTCCTTCCAAGCTGAATGAGGTTGCATCCCGGTCAATCAGACGACTTGTTTCAGCCTCGCCTAAAAAAAAGCAAGCGTAAAGCATTTGTGATGGAGCAGACTATGTGCGTGTACCATAAAATAATGACTTGAGTTATTGTTTAACATGCAGAAGTACCTTGTGAGGACCTCCAGTAGATTCTGTATCCATCAACACCTCTCACTGCTCTCCAAACAATACGCAGTGCTCCTGGGGTTGACTCTGCTACACGCATACCCTCTACCCGATCCACTAGTGGTTCTGGTGATGGAAAACACACAAACACAAATATATCCCATACGTAAACAAACATACATGAATATTATTATGCAATTTATTTATATATTTGCAAGCTCTTCATACATGGCATGCACATGGCATGACATCCTTTCATTGACACACTCTCCCACACATGCACACGTTAACATGCACTATCCTAGAACCACTTACAGCTCTGCTGGAGGAAGATAATTTTCTTATATAGCTCCTAAACTCTGGAATTGCATTCTAGGAAACATTAGAAATGCAAGCTCAACAGGTTTTTTTACATACAGATTACAAGCACTGTTTTAGGCTAGTATATGCCTTAGAAGTATTGTTTCTCCTGTTGTGATTGTGCTGTTATGTTCATTTGGAGTGTTAGTGTTTTTCTCCCTCCAATGTTTTATATTTCTGTGTAAAGCATTTTGAGATTTTGTGACTAAAATGAAAGGTGCTTTATAAATAAATATTACTATCAGATTTTTGTCACAGAACACTCCACACTCCTCTAGTGTAGTACTGACCTGTAGTGACTTTGATAGAGACTGGAGGCCCCTCTCTGTTCTGGACCAGAGCCACAACCTGTACGTCATACTGAGCTCCTCCCTCCAGTTTCTTCAGATCCACTGATGTTACGTTACCACCAACCAGCTGAACCTGCTCCTCTCCACCTACATATACACATAGACGCATCAACTCACCAGCAAACCTGTACATCTGATAATTAAATGAGAAATCAGAGGTCGCCTCTGTTTTATATTTCATAAATGGACAGGATAGCATACTTCATATGAGCAAACCACAGCAGAAGAAGACAGGCATACTATTCAGATGGGATTAGTTTTACATGGGGTGATGTTTATGACTGATTCACATGAATAAGAAATCTCGGTAGAAATTACAGAGACAAGAGTGGCTGCTTGATTTATGCACTGTCAACACTGGTGCATTTAAAAAACAAAAACAAAAAAAAAACGTCCTGCCACTTTACAGGTTCGGAGCTCCAATCAGACAATACATATCAGCTTGATTTTAGCCACAGATAATACAACCCCATTTCCAAAAGTGTTTGGACGCTGTGCAAAATGTAAATAAAAACAAAATGCAATGATGTGCAGAACATTTAAACCCTATTTTTAATTGACAATAGTACAAAGACAACATATCAAATGTTGAATCTGAGAAATTTTATTGATTTTTGAAAAATATATGCCCATTTTGAATTTGATGCCAACAATACATTCCAAAATGTTTACCACTGTGTTTCATCACCTCTTCTTTTAACAACACTCTGTAGGTGTTTGGGAACTGAGGAGACCAATTGCTGTAGTTTTGAAAGTGAAATGTCTTCCCATTCCTGCTTGATATAAGTTTTTAGCTGCTCAACAGTTCAGGATTTCTTTTGTTGTATTTTTCATTTCATAATACAGCAAATGTTTTAGTGGGTGACAGATCTGAACTGCAGGCAGGCCAGTTTAGCACCCAGACTCTTTTAATACAAAGCCATGCTGCTGTAATATGTGCAGAATGTGGTTTGGCATTGTCTGGCTGAAATAAGCAAGGCCTTCCCTGAAAAAGATGTCGTCTGGATGGCAGCATATGTTGCCAAAACATGTATATATCGTTCACCATTAATGGTGTCTTCACAGATGTGCACATCAACCATGCCATGTGCACTAATGCACCCCTATACCATCATTAATACTGGCTTTTAAACTGTGCTCTGATAACATGCTGAGTGGTCTTTAGCCTGGAGGACATTGTCCATGACTTCCAAAAAGAATTTCAAATTTTGATTTGTCCGACAATGGAACCCTTTTCCACTTCCCCTCAGTTCATTTTAAATGAGCTCGGGCCCAGAGAAGGTGGCAGCATTTCTGGATCCTGTTTATGTATGGTTTCTTCTTTGCATTTCAGAGTTTTATCTTGCATTTGTGAATGCAGCGACGAACTGTTTTCACAGACATTTTTTTTCAGAAGTGTTTCTGAGCCCATGCAGTGATTTTCACTGCAGAATCATGTCTGTTTTAAATGCAGTGCCACCTGAGGGCCCAAAGATAATGGCCACCAAATACTGGTTTTTGGCTTTGTCCCTTGCCTAGGAAGATTCCTCCAGTTTCTCTGAAATTTTTAATGTTATTTTGTACCATAGATTATGAAAAGCAAAAGTTCTTCGGTATTTCATTTTGAGAAACATTATTCTTGAATTGTTGCACTATTTGCATGTGAATCCCTCCGCATCTTTACTTCTGAAAGACTCAGCTTCTCTGGGATGCTCTTTTTATACCCAGTCATTTTACTGACCTGTTGCCAATCAACCACCAGGTGTTTTTTTAGCATTACACAATTTTACCAGCCTTTTGTTGCTCCTGTCCCATCTTTTTTGAAATATGTTTTTGGAATCAAATTCAAAATGGGCAAATATTTTTTAAAAAACAATTTTATTTTAATTAAATTTCTCAGTTTCAACATTCGATTTGTTGTCTTTGTACTATTTTCAATTAAATATAGGGTTTAAATGATTTGCACATTATTGCATTTTGTTTTTATTTACATTTTGCACAGCGTCCTGACATTTTTGGAAATGGGGTTGTACATGAACATGCTTGTTTGAATGCCTCCATACATAAAAAACCTGTGAAAACAGAATATGATTCTTGAATATGAATATTGATCGCCCTGGCAATCCACACAGAATTAACATAACCTAATGTTATTTCTATGGTTGGTTTTACAGTAGATAAAAGCCACCAGAATCTGTGCTAACACGGGAGCACGCGTCCATAAAAATCACTGACGTGGCGGATTTGAACAGGCCTGAAATCACTGAGTAACAGCATTAATAATTACATTGCTCCACCTACCCAATGAGAACTAACCCCATTAAAACCCCTAGACCAAAGAGTAGCTAAAGTGGTTCTAAAAGTGTTACTATAAAATGAACATGGTAGAACATTAACATTCTCAGTTCATTCTCAGTTCAGCTCTTGCAGCCCCAATGAGAGATTTAGTATGATGAACATTATTATGAGATAAGTACTGTTCACAATAATGGTTTGTACCACATGCAGTTCAGTTAAGTATAGTGTGTTCACTTCTGTAGAGTGGCTTTACACACTACTCAATCAATCATAAAAGTGTGCATGAGCATAATTGCTCGCTCACCGTCACTTCTCTTCCACAGCACTCTATATGCTGTTGCCCCCTGAACTCCAACCCAGCTGATTCTGACCACCTCTCCTCGTGGCTCATGCTGTAGATCAGTAACACGTCCAACCACAACCTCTCCTGAGACTGAGGTCAAACAAGAAAACAGTCATCTTAAGTAAGAAGAACACATGCAAAGGCTTTGTTAACATAAAACAGCTATTCATTCATACTTTGGTTATACTTGGCAGCTTCAGCATCAAAGTGATATTCCTTAGTGTGAAGATCATTACCTAAATAATCATTTCATCTCTCAAACTATTGTTAAAAGCTCATATTGAAAAAGGTGATAAACAGCTGACAGGTTTCAGTGCTGATGAGTGCATAAACATTTGAGCTTTAGCATTATTCTCAGAGACTACTGTCCCAACCACTTCTCAAATACTTAAAGGAAGAACCACCCATTTCATTTGTTATAGAAGATGAAGTTTAATAGTCTTTTCAAAGTGAACAGCAGACGACATGAGCTGTCCTATCTTGCCATGTGTGTTAAGTGAGTCTTCTACTTACTGACATGCTATATGTGGTGATGATGTGTGATTAGAGGTGGTAAGTGAGCTGGGACCTGTTCTGGTGTTCAGGGTGGCAGCAGGTCCCTCCCGGGAGCCAACAAGCGCAGAGACAGATATCCTGTAGGAGGAGCTCTGTAGGAGACCATCAATGGTGTAGGACCTGGCATCAGCAGGTATGATCTGAGAGTTCTCCACACCTGCAGTTAGAGAAGACAGGATTAATAAAAATTTGCAATCACTGTTCAGAAATATGGAATCAGTATACTTACAGTAATTCAAATATACAAAATTAATTTGTTCACAGGTAAATATATACTAATTCAAATGTGCTAGTCCTGTCCAACAAGGAAGCTCAAATTGCTGGAAGCAGAAAAAAATATCCAGAATGATAAACAGATATGCAGATGTTTCTAAAATGATTGTATTTTAAAAGTAATTATAAAATCATATGGCAGATAACAAAAATTAATGTGCATGGATACAGTCGAGCAAAGGTTTGGTTTGATTTTTCACCAAGTGAAAATAAGTACACATCCTCTACAGAAAATGTACTTCTGCACATTTTAATGCACTTTAAATAGGTTTTTTTTTTTGAATTTAATTCTGAAATTAACCTAAAGGAAAAAATAAACGTATGTTTCCAATAACATATTTTTCCAGTATGTTAAACTTATCTGCAGAAAAATAGAAATTAAACATCAACATAATAATATAATAATACATAATAATACATAATATGTATTTTGACTGGAGACTGTCAAAACTTTGCATACAACTATAATTAAAATATATTATTAATCATTTAAAAAACCTTTTATGTTAAATTATTAAATAATAAATAACATCAAGTCATACAAATAAGATTTCATACTGATTTCCAGTAACTATTTAGCCTTGCACTTTGCCAGTATTAATCTCTTATTACTTTACCAGCGCTCTTAACTCTAATTTCATGCCTACCATCACTCCGCCGCCAGGTGATTTTATAGCCTGTTGCTCTGCCTACAGGTGTCCAAGATATCTGAACACGGGTGGAGCTGACATCAATGATCTGCAGGCCTGTGACTGCATATCCGCTAGTTCTAGCGGAGAGGGTGGCCACGTCACCCACCCTGCCGTTACTCAAAGCAGCCACACCCACAACAACTGATTCATCAGGCTGGAGCCCTTCTATAGTAAAGGTACTGACATCTGCACCAAGCACACGGGTCTGCTCCGCATCTGTGAGAGACCGAGAGAGAGAGTGAGTGAGTGTGAGAGAGAGAGAAATTATCCATAAAACATTAAGGGTCTGGCCTCATACAACAATTTGATTCAATTACAACTGTACAGGAAACGATTCAAAGCATTATGATATCTCAAATTTGGTTTGATTATTTTAGCACGATTAATATGACTAGAGGAACTATTTACATAGTAGGGGAAAACTAACAATAAAAACAATGTGTCAAGCGTTTTTGGATTTTATGTTTGAAAACAGCCTGACAATTTCATTTTGGACAAACAAATGTATGTACTACTACACATTTATTTACTGTATTTCATACACTTACTATTGCCTTGTCTCCAGGTGACCCTGTAACCTGTTGCCTCGGTAACTCCAGTCCACGTGATTCTGATCCGTCTACTGTTGGCGCTCACTACACGAAGGTTGGTCACCTTGCTTGGAATTTGTGCTGTCAAATATTTGGTAACGCAAAAGAATGTAAGCAGGTACAAAAACACTCAATCATGCATTCATCCATCTATGCGTCTGTTCATGCATCTATCCATCAACCATCAAACTATCCATACATTTCGAAAAAAAATGTTTCTTTTGCTGCTCATTGAAGCAGTTAGTCTTTCACCGCTCCTAAAAGGTGAATGTGCCAATGCGGAATCAGAGCTGGCCTCAATTCAAGACACATCAACCAAAGTTAACATGAATGTTGGCAACTTGACAGCTTGAGTAGTGCCAAGAGGCAATATCATTTATAATCCCACAAACAAAACAAGAAAGGACATGTGTACGCACACAGCATGCTACCTGCTCTGCGCGTGATGGGCACTGATAAAAAGTTAATTAGTTCTACACTTAGTCCGCAGCTGGGATGCCCACTGTTGCATCTAGAGATCTCATGCCACGTATTAAGGGCGGGATTTGCGACACGCCCAAAATACAATAATATCACGACTCTGAATCACGATACAATCCTATTTCAATATTTTTGTGATATGGTAAGTATTGTGATATGACACATCGGGATATGGAGATTCATCATTTTTGACTACAATTTTTTTTCCCAAAGAAAATGTTCTGTTCTATCTCATGAACACTTTATCACTTAATTCTCACGTCAATCTTTTTATTGAAGCAAAAAAGAATTGTAGACAATCAAAAAACACATTGTCCATACCTTTCAACAGATGCTATTATTTGTGTAGAAATGTGAGAAGTCTTGCCTTATTGGACTGTTACTGATATATAATAGTGACCTTTCTAATTTCTGCCTGAATGGACACTGAAGTGACATGCAGACCCAGCGAGTTATCCACTTTGCTGAGTGTTTCTAACAGTGACTCCAATGAGGGAAACCTTGATCTCACCAGAGGGAAACCACGCCATCTTGTGGATTAAGACAGAACTGTATTCTAGTAATCGGCTTAATACACATTAAATAGATCAATAATTTAAAAATACAATTTTGCTACTTGGACCTCCTTGTATTGATACAATTTTTAAACTCAAAATATTGGTACATCGTATGGTATTAATTTTTTCTCCCACCTCTGAGGGCTGAAAAATTCATTGTTTTTATATACTATTATTTATTTAAATTATCATTTAAAAAAGGGTGGTTTTCGAAATACAAGCATTGCAATTTTAAATAAAGGCTACATTTTTCTTACATACAGTCTTAACAAGTTTTGAGTGGAGAAATTTAACATCATAACACACTACATTCAGAGTTTTCAAGCTTGAAGCGTGAAAAAATAGATGTGCTGATCCTCCTGGCATAGAGCCTTTAAAGAAAAGAGTCACATTTAAATCACAAAACTGATCGGGATTTAGAAATTGGGCACAGCGGGTAGTGCTGTCGCCTCACAGCAAGAAGGGCCTGGGCTCGATTCCCCGGCCAGGTGATCAGGGTCCTTTCTGTGTGGAGTTTGCATGTTCTCTCTGTGTCTGCATGGGTTTCCTGCCACAGTCCAAAGACATGCATCCAGGTAAACCAGATATACTAAATTGGGCCTAGGTGTGAGTAAATGTGTATGTCTGTGTGTATGCCCTGTGATGGACGCACTGTTTAGGGTTTCCTGCTTTCTGCCCTATGAGTGCAGATAGGCTCCAGCATCCCTTGCAACCCAGGAGGATAACAGACTTTGAAAATGTGTGTGCATTTCCAGCCCTGTCAAGGTACACTTGATACAGCTTATCAAAGTCTTCAGGAAGGTCTGAATATTTAAACCCATATTTAAGATTAGGACTGCAACTGAACTTTACAGGGGTGGGGATGGACATCCCCAGTCTATATTTCCCAGTAAACACATATTTATATAACTATATATAACTATAACTATAAAGTATTTTTTAAATCTAATTATTCAGTATCTTCATTCAGTTTCTGACTCAGTGGGTTTCAAACAAGAAAAACACAATTAAACAGGCAAGACCGCATCTTTTTTTCATTGGTCAGGTTTAGAATTGCAAGGAAAGCTGATGGCAGATTTGTTTGGGCAAAATGGCTTATCCTGTTTACACACTCCAACATGAAAGAACTCTTATTTCAGCACAGACAGATAGACAACCAAACAGACATACACACACCTGCTTTGATGTAGACAGTGACTGGGTCTCCCTCATTGTAGCCCACCAATGCAGTCACACTTATAGAGTAAGACACACCTCCTTGAAGGTCAGTTAGATCAAGGGTCGTCTGGTTTCCATGAACAACCCTGCTTACCTCTACCCCAGCTAGACAAAGAAAGACAAGACTATGATAACAGATTCTACACAAATAAGGCAAAATATAAACAGCTTAACCTTTAATATTTAAAAAATAAAAAGATCAGAAATCATACAAAACAAAGCATAAACTGCTCCTATATTTCTTAGCTCAGAATTCTGATAATTTAACTTTGTGCACTGAAAACAGTGATACATTACATTTTCTTGATTCAAATGTGTACATAACTTCAACATTCATAAAACAACAAAATATATCAATATAGTTATTGACAAAATGGAGTACATTTTATTAATGTGGAAATTACGTACACATTTGAATCAGCTAAATTTAATGCGTCCCTTTTTCAGTGTAGATATAAATTCATTCACGCTCACCATAAACATTTATGTTATGTTAATGCATTCTTACACTGAGTGTTGAGGATGCGGATGTTGTACTGTGTTGCCCCTGCGACCCCTATCCAGCCCAGCCGCACATTGCTGCCAAATGACTCTAACACACGGAGATTGGAGACTCTACCAATCGGCTGGTCCACTAAACACAATATTCACACAGTAACAACTGAATAAAAAACACAAAATGCACATATGCAATTTTACTTCAAACGACCATATCGGCATTGGCACCTGTATTCTGTACATGCCAACAATATTGTATAAATTTACACTGGCTGACGGCTCTGACCTGTTGATTCAGTGGAGATGTATGTGGCCTCCTCTCGTCCATCGTAGAGTGTGTACAGAGTTATGATGTAATCAGTACTTGGCTGCAGACCTCTTATCTCATAGCTTGTGGTGTCCTTAGAGAAAGTCTGTTTTTGAGTCCTGCTCCCTGTGATTTGAGAAATAAAATCCTTACATATAAAAATACATTACATTAATAAATATCCTGTTCAAATGATTTTTTGTACTGAATTTACAACAAAACATTATGCAAGGTTTGATAGAAAGTTACTAAATACAGCTTAGCTTTAGGAAATCCTACTAACTTTGTTTTGAAACATAAATTTAAACAAATGGGTTCACAACAGTTCAGTCACTGTAGAAAGAGACATCCTGTTACCTATGTTTGTATTCAGAATTTTACAGTTATCTCAAATTTGTATTTTTTTCACGTTTGGTTATTTAAATGGTCACAAATATTTACAAATGTCTCTATTTGTGATAGTAAAGTATGCAGTAGATTGGATGTGAAGAAAGTGTACTATGTAGGCGTGTAATGAAATGACATGGGATGGTGTATGCAGGTTTTTGGTATTATGGCAGTAAAAAGCAGTAAAATACATCGTAATTATTTATTTTTAACACCAAAAATCAACCAGAATTCAAATAAATATGAAATTATATCCAGCACTAATACTGTTTAGATTATATCCATGTAAACATGCAGAGGCCTGGCACTTTGTATGGAGACCGGTAGCTGGTAGGATTTACTGTATTTTTTTAAAAAGCCAACAAATGTACATGTTTATTGGAATTATTACATTATATTTATATATATCATTATATTTGAAAGAGCATTATGATCATTTAGTTTTATACAGTGGTATATTATTAAAAATGGTACCCGTCCTATCCCTAGCACTATGTGTAATGTTGTCTGCAGGTGTGCGTTTTTTGTGACTCACTCTCTCCTTCTTTCCACCACTCCAGCCGGTAGCCTCTGGCTGCTTCTATGAAGTTCCAGGTCAGCCTGATGCTGGTGGGTCCTGTAGTGGTGGCTTTTAAAACCTGCTGCTCCAAACGTTCTGAAGCACAACCACATTATAAATGTTTTAGCCTTCTTTATATACAAACATACACTCGTTCAGAGTTGCGTGACTCATTAAAAGAGGCTCTCAGTTTAATAATGATTCTGTTGCTTGAATTGCCAGACGTTGAGTCAGCGTTTGAATTAAAAACACACTGTGGTGTGTCAGTCTGTGTACCTATCTTGAAACGTGCAGTTGCAGCGGCCCCCTCTGCTTCTCCATTGTACAGAGCAATGACTGTAACAATATATTCTGTGTCTGGGAGCAAATTCACTAGAGTATGAGCCTCACTGTCACCTCTCACCTCTACAGTCTCTACATCACTTCCTGAAACAAACAGACAGAGAGAAAAAAAGAGAGATTAAAAAAAGATAATAAATAATTCATGTTGTGCTTGATATTTCCTCAGGTAACTCTGCTATCTTTTTTTTTATTATCACTGTTTAATGTTTAACCCCTTGAATGGCCAGGGCCCGCTGGTGGGCCCAAAGTTTCATTATACACTTCTATAACAAGAATAGCTCAACTAGCTTGCACTGAAGCCTGGGATTTTAATGGGTTAATACTATTTTGGGCTGTTTAACAAGGCATTATTAATTTTGTTTCAATGGGTGTAGAATTCTGTTTGCATCACCTAGTAAGACTGCAGCTTAGAACCAGTGTGAAAACCGTTTATGAAATGAATCAAACGAATACAAGCAAATCCAATTACTAAGGAACTCACACATCTTTAAAGGCATTTAAGCATTTTAATGAAACTATTACAATCACTCTAACTTATAAGCATTTATGCATACCCTACAAATGGTCCACATGGTTGCTACAAAATTTTGAAAAACAAAATCAATGCCTATGATACCTCGCGAATATGGCATGTATCCATGTCCATTCTATTCAAAAACAGATTTGTTAAAAATCAAAGATGTATATCATCGCTGTCAAAAAAAAACATGTCCATTTTTGTTGATCTTTACTTGTCTATGCAATTTGAGCACAGCAGTTGCTCTTTACTTTGTGTACGAATAAAATGTAAGTTAATAAAATTAACTTCCAACCTGATATTCTGGCATCATCTTAGAATTGAATACCTCTTTTAGTAAGAACTAAGACAGCTTCAGACATTTTAGCCTCCTTAAATGTTTAAAATCTATTTTAATACTTCATATAACATTTACCCTGGTCCATCTACAAAAGATCAGAGCATAATCAACCCAGAAAAATCTCCCATTTGTTAGTTAATCTGAACGCTGACCTCTGAAAGGTCCCCACACAAGCCTGTATCCTCTGGCCCCGGTCACTCCTCTCCAGCGCACTTCAACACTGCTGTTAGAGACAGTGACAACAGAGAGTTCTTGCACTCCTGCTAAACGCACTGCACACACAAACACACACACACACAGAAGTAAACAAATCGTACGCACACAATACAATACGGCTGTTATGGTTGCTAATTAAGTCACAGATTACAGATTTCAACATTATCTTTCACTGTATAGTTTTAACATTTCTACATACTCCTACATTTGCACAAGTCAGTCACCACTAAGGGGCAGCACCACATGGCTCAAAGGCCTAGGTGAGCTTAGCTGCAATGGGTGAAAAGCAAGAATGTACCATAGTGCATGTGTGCACACATGACTGGACAGTGAAAGCAGGAGATTGGTGTGTGTGTTTGTGGGACTGTGTGCCCACTCACAGGTGCGGGCATTCAGAGTAATGGGCGCAGCGTTGTTATTAGGGAAGAGAGGGTACAGGGTGATGACATATTCTGTGTCTGCTTCTAGACCATCCAGTGTGAGAGAAGTGGTCTCCACCCCAACTGTCTGCTCCTGCAGGAGAGAAGCAGGCTGACCTGTGAACAAAACAGACCCTATAAATTAAGAGATTTACAGCCTAATGGCAATAAGAAAGCACTCTTTTTCCCATTCAATTGGCAATTGTTCTTTATAGAGATCATACAAACTGTCAGCAATGGGTGCATCTTAAAGCATTTTGAAGTGACAGCAACAACGACCAAATCTGCAAATGAAAATCTGAATGTAAATAGGCACCATTTGAAATAACAGATCTACTTGACTTTGATTAAAAATAGTTAAGCAGATGTTCTTTGTAATAAATGTTTCAGAAATGTTCCAGTGAGCTTGATGCTTTGTTTCGTTGATGCATGATCAAATGAAAGCGGGCAGAACTGTGTGGGATAAAATCTTGTGTGAGCATGCATGAAACAACACTTCCTGCACCTACACACCACTCAAAACCCAAAGTTCTTTTCTGCTCAAAGACCTGAGTGAAGTATTCAGCCTTAAAAAGATAAACACGTGCACACAGTCATCTGCGTGTCAGACAGCAGATCAGACAGCAGGACAGGTTGAGGCATTTTTCACATGTCTATAAAACTCTCTGACCTGACTAAATACAGAGACACACCTAATCTAACCTATTAAGCCCCGCCAACTCAAACACTACTCACAGGAACCACACTAGGGATGCCCAACATGCCTCAGCCATGCTATATAATTGAGGAACAAAAGTATATGGAGTTCATAATAATGACTTTCTTTCACTACAGAGCTGACTACCCAGATAATACACTGAAGCATTCATTCCACTCAGTCTGCACTCTCTATCACACAAACTCAAGAAGGGATTAACATATGATCTTATAGTTATTACTTCACACACATTTCTTTACTTGAAAACTTAACTGCTGTAAATGTGCATCAAGCTACCAAACAGACTTAAGTTGTGTGTTATTTTATAGCTGGCATTATGCCCAAATAAGGAAGTCAGGGTCTAAGCCAGCTTCTTCTATGGGAAAAACATGAACAGTATTTTGTCCTGTGTACATTTTCCCCCAAATATCACTGGATTAATTAAATTATGAGTTCAGTTAGGAGATGAAATGCGAATAATAGGAATGCACAGAAATTTTGGGCACCGAAACTTTTCACCTAAAAACATCTGCATACTACATGCCCAACAGTGGATCGGAAATGTTCACACTGTACTGAAATTGTTGTGAAACCCCTTTTAGTCAAATGAGCATTGGCAAATGTTTTTCCGTGGTCCTTAGAAATCTCATTTAACTGAGACATGGCAGGCACTAACAAATGTGCGTGGTTAAGACCTGACTTTGATGGTGAAGACTCAGGTTGACCTTTTTTAAATAGTGTAGGTCACATTCAAACCCAATAGTCATCCATTTGACTCAACCTCCTGAACCTAATTAGCACTTATACCAAACTGATAATTCTAGGGGTTCACATACTTTTGCCAACCAAAATGATCACTTTGTTTAATACATGAAGGAAAAACTATACAACTGTTTTTTATTAGGTTCTCTTTTTCTACTGTAATGACTTAAATGAAGACCTGATCATAATTTAGGTCACATTTATATAGAAATTCACATAATGCTAAAGGGCTCAGTGTGTGGATGTTTTTCATTCCATTCATTTCATTTTTCAGATTTTTAAAGCAGCTGAATCAGTAGTGAAAGTCGCTCTGACAGCAGACAAGTTGCCTGAGGCGAGACAAAACTTTAATTTCCGTTACTTTCTAATAGTCTCCGGTTCCTAGTTAAACTATAGCTGTCTATTAAATCTTACAGCATAATCACAGCACGTTCTAGCTTCTCTCGTCCTCTCTATTACTCTCTGTTTAACTTGTTTAACACCCTTTCAATAGTAGTGTACTTCTTTTATCTGGCCTACAGTATTTACCCTCAACCTTGTTCTCTATTAACTTATTGACTTCATTTTCTCCAGTTCCTCAGGCAGTGTTTCCCTCCTTTCCTTCTTTCTTTTCTTATCCTTGCCCCAATTACAGGATCTACCATTGAATAGAGCTGCTGAGGGATTAAAGAAGGAGGTTAACTGATTTAATTGTGTGTTTAGCTGCGGGCGTGTGATTGTGTGTATTACCTCTGGGTCCGTATGTGATTCTGTAGCCCTGTATGGGGCCGGTGGGAGTGTCCCATGCCAGAGATAAAGTGAAGAACCCAGCCTGCACCAACCGCAGAGCAGCAACGCCTGGCAGAGACCCTGGAGAGAAAAACATGACAATACAGAGGATAATAAAAGAGCTTTTGTGCTGTGTAAGACATTCTCTGCAGGATTCTCTTAAGGATTGGCTGCCAGTATTTGAGTCTTTGTTTTTTTCATGCACGGGCAAGTGTGTGAGACTCTTTGAGTGTCTGACTCACTGGTTCGAGCTTTGGCAGACACAGTCTCTCCAACGCTATTGGGGTACTGGGCTATAACAGACACCAGGTAGTCAGTGCTCGAGCGAAGTTCACGTGCCACATAGATCTGCTGGCTGGCAGGCAGCGTCTCCTGGGAGTCAAGAGGAAAAATAACAATGGATGTTGGAGCTGATTGAACATACTGTATATCTCATGCAGATGTTTGAGAATATGCTGATATTCTGTGGGTATCAAATTGCATCTGTAGCAATTCAATGCATTGATTTTAGAATGCCAGAATTGATTATAATCCACTATCAAAATGTACAACATTTAGTAAAGTATGACCTCACTTTTGGCCAAAATGAAGTTCTCATAGGGGTGTATGATTTGGTGAAAACATTTTTCAACAATTTTCACAATGCACAATATGTCATGATATTCCTTTTTTTCTGACAACACTGCCACACTGAAAAAATACTATTAAAAACTATAAATTCAAAAAATTTTAAACAATATTTCACTCAGATTTTGGCACATCAAGAGGACTAATTATGCTCTCTTTGTAATGAAACATGCAGTAGGTCAGTGTTCTAGAAGTACTCATGATAATCACAATATACTCAAGAAAAACATATTAAGCTGTATTGTGATGTAATTCATCACAATCATGATATATTGTCATACAGATCGTCATACTGCCCAGCCCTAAACTTTCATGTCAAATATAAAAATTTCAAAAAGAGTTGGTGTGTTGTTTTTTAACCATCACTACATCCGTTGTAAACATGCCTACTCCCTTCTTACAGTGGTGCTGCAGCAGTCTCTAAAACAAAAAAAAACTTTTCTAAGTGGAAGTAAAATCTGAATTACTACAAATACCCAAATACAAATTCCCAATGACTATGTGACATATTTGCATAATGCATGATGGGTATGGTACTAAGGGAACAATGATGAACAAAAGTGATGCAAAATTGTGAACAGATGAGGCTGTGGAGAGTAATGGTGCACCATAGAACACTACATGACATAATAAATAATAAATTAAATCCTAGTTTTAGGCAGGAATGAGCCTTTGATAGCACCAATACAATTTGGTCAAACTGCAGCATAATTCCATGATGCATTGAATCATTTTCTAAAGAACTGTAATCAATTTGAATCATTGTGAGATCAGCGTTTTATACCCCAGTCACAGTGGGGTATAACATACAGTCTATTTCTTGCACACATGGAAAAATATGTTAATGTCCAACTTAACATTCCCAGAAATTCCACAAGTGAATGATGTCTTTCTCTGCAAAAAGCAGAGAAACTTTGCCCATACATTTACAGCTACCATTGTTCATCCCTGCCAGAACACACACATCCACAATCACCACAAAAATGAGAGAGGGAGAGACAAATTGAACTTTTTATCACTGCTCGAAATGAAAGTCTCTGTAAATTGGCTGTTCATTTCAAGATTAGTGATTAGTTGAAATGAAGATGAACTGCTTCACCTCAAAAGAGTGAGTCTGTACCAAGAACTAATGCCAACTCCTCCACAATGTAACAGCTGTCACAGCACAATAGGCATCACTACAAGCCTGAACAGCTCCTCTCTGCAGCAGAAAATAGCTGCAGTCTTCTTATAGAAACATGCACATGGTGTACATTCATTCACGCACATACAGTTTTCATACAACGACAATATAGCATTAATCATCACCCTCACCTGCCGTAGCTCTCCTGTAACTGGCTGACCCAGACCAGAAAGCGGAGTGTACTGAATAACGTAGCCAGTCACAGGGCCTCTTGCAGCTGTCCACTGAAATCGAACCGAATTAGTAGTCTCATCTGAAACCTGTAAGTTAGATGGGCCACTAAAAGCATCTGATAGAAAGTAAAAGAGGACAAAAAGAATTGGCTGCATTTATTCATGAATTTCTACTGTGTAAAATGCTTGACATTAGTTTCGGAGTACATGCAGAGTACATGCAACTTGGATACCATCACTTGAATAGGAGCCTCCAGATGATGCACATACACGTGGAGTCACCAGGGGCAGCAGAGAGCTCAAACCTCTAAAGTTCCCGATAAAGGAGGTGAATTCACTTTGAGGAGGCGAAGCAATGATGTTCAGTTCATTCTGATCTGCACTCTTTATACCTGATAGTGAAAGAGACAATAGATAATAAATAATATTAAAGGGCCCATGTAACTGAGAACTAAATTTTCCTCACTTCCTTGAAATAAGACTTTGAAGTAGTGCCTAAAAAACACTGTTTTTAAACACTGAGTTTTAAAACATAATGCTTACTCTCCAGTCTATACAGTCCATATATGAAAACTAAGCTGCAAAACTGCCCACTTTGAATTCACTGTTTCTGTGATGTCACAAAAACCATCACATCTACATATATCTGCCTGTTTTGCCCTACAGGGGTACCTATACTCCATATATTCATGCTGAAGTTATAGGGAGTGTTTCAGCCTGGACTGCTTTTTTAATGAGGCACAATACAGGACAGGACATAAACAGAGATCATTTACCATCTCGAAGGCACAGTAACAAAAACAGCCTGTTTAACTTCAGAACATAACAAAAGGTTAGAAATGGACATGTGCAAAATAAATGATGCTTTTGGTACATACATATCATACGTGGACCTCACAGATAAACAATGTGGGCCCTTTAACCAATGAAATAACTAAACAATAAATCAATAAAGCGTCATACAAGATGCAGTTCTCACCCACTGCAAATATTGTGACTCCTAGGCTGCGTAGTTTCTGAGCTGGGTCTTGAACATTGTCCTGAGATTTTCCATCGGTGATGAGAATAGCAATCTTTGATAAAAGGAGAGAGAAATGTTAAACAAACTAATGGGTCCCAGAATAAATCCTAAGATTTATACAGATTGACAGTCATTCATATCAAAAGTAGCATCAACCAAAGCAGCTCCAAAGCACAACAGCATAAGCAGTATAAGTAGTCACTGTTGTCAAGAGAAATCTCTCCTCCTTTCATAAATCTCTCAGTAAAGCTTCTCTCTACAAAACATAAAATCTCCTTTACGCTCCCTAGGCATTACAGAGCTCCATGACCTAAAACAACAAATATGATAACAAAGCTAAAACAGTGAAAATCATATAAAAGTTGATAATGTACAGCTGGAAGTTTTTATCTGAATATTATCTACAGTGGTAAGGGTGCTCTACAAAAACAACATATCAACTTATCACTACAAACCACAGCAACAATCAATCAACTCACCTTGGGCACATCTCTGGTAGTGGCAGGATTAAAGAAGTTATCTGCTATGTACTTCAGACCAGCTCCAGTGCGTGTGTTTCCTCCTTTATAGTTAAGATTTTCTATAGCACTCACCAGCTCAGTGCCATTCAGATACGTTGTGAAAGTAAACTCCACTCTGAGAATGACAACAGACATTTAAACAAAGCCACAAAGCAGATTAATTAACACATACACAAAGCAAGACTCCACACATTCAGAACATTTCAGCACAGATTAAGGGTGCCACAAGAAGAAAAAAGGTACTTACAGTGAAATGAAGTCTAATAGGCTTATTCTGTGGCCAGAAAATGAGCTGCCAGTGCAATAATCCACATATCTTAAAAACATTTAAACATGCATATACCTGGCAGTGTCACTGTACTGAACAGCTCCAAAGCGGACACCAGACGGCCCCACTCTTCTGGCAAAGGTTTTGACAATCCCTGCCATGAAACTCTTCACCAAAACAAAGTTGGCGCGTCCGATACTGGATGACCCATCCACAAGGAACACAATATCTGCCTCAGCAACATTATTACACTGACCTGCATGTGGAAACACCAACATTATTACACTGACCTGCATGTTGTTTTTTTTTAAAGAAGACACTGTACAAATTACCACTGCCAAAATGCCCATACAAAATCCTGAAAATGTTTCCTGAGGTTTGAAAGGATCACGAAAAGGTACCATGTGAAGGATACCAGAAGGGTTTGGGCCATACACATACATATTAGAGAGCAATATATCTGATGATGTTATCCTGTACATAGTGCTATGTTAAGCCACTTGGTCATCGTATTGATATCCCACCTCTGCACCAAAAATGAAGTGTTGTCTATAGACATAATGCAAAAATATGCCCAAATAATGGATATACAGTACTGTGCAGAAATCAGAGACCACCTTTTACTTATTTAATATACAGGCAAAACAGCCAATAAGTACAACTTATTAATTTTTCAGCATCAAAAAAACCAAAATATATATATTCAACAAAAAATATACAGAAACTACCTAAATATAATCTAAGTTTATGTATTTAGTGTATTCACCATTTGTCTTTATTACAGCTCTTGCTCTTGTTCTTAGGAGACCCATTTTTCCTACATTTTTTTATCATTTTTGAACTCCAGTGTTGGAAACTTCTGTGTTTTCCCTTGGGTTGGGTTTTGCAAATATAGCAAAGCACTAACATGTTTAGTTAATTATTTCTTTGACTAGTATTACTTTTAAATATATTTAAATAGTGTTGTTGACTTGATTCAGTTTACATACATGGTGAAGATATAAAACACTAGAAATTACAGTCTATCAAAGACTCATTGGGTCACACATACATACAAGTGCAAGGGCAGCACAAAATGTGCCTTGATTCGGCCACAATATTTGCTCATAATGGGCTTAAAATTAACATTCAATTCACTCTGCGTACAGCCTTACCTACCAATATGTTCATGAAGTACAGTGTTTAAAAGGCATAGTGAGCCGTCAGATAAATCAGAAAAAAAAGCTGATGAAGACATATTGGTGCTTATATATGAGGTTCTTTTACCACGAAAACCAACAGAGGTTAAAAAACAGAATTTGGGAAACTAACATAGACTACGTACACATACTGCGGCCGCATCACAGCATTTTTTCTGAGAAAAAAAATGGCACAAAAAGCTTAGTACATTAGGTACAATGTGCTTTTTAAATTTTTAATGAAAAATATAGCATATTAAAAAAAAAAACGTAGGTAGCCCTAAGGTAGGTCTCCAGTAGACCTCTAACATTCATACAGTTTGGCCAGAAGAAGCAGCAGTGTTGAGTGGCCCACCATAAAAAAATATATATATAACCATTTGTCATTATGTCACAGATGATGGGTTTGAAGATCATGCAAAGACCAATCCCATCCTCTAGTGTACCCTCAGTACAGTACACTACAGACTGTATGTTTGTTACAGGAGGATTAGAAGCTCTTCTCAGATGTTTGGAGATAAGCTTTTAAAACATTACCTTGGGCTGTAGCTGTATATGGGAAAAGCAGAAACACTGCAACTGCCACAGTCCAATGCCACATCTTCAGACCCTATACACAAGCACGCACACACACACACACACACACACACACACACACACACACACACACACAGAGCAAATATTCAGTCTTCTAAAAATAAGGACAATTCAGTCATCCCCATTGATCATAATGCATAAACATAGACATGATGTTTCAGCCAAATCTGGACATATGACCTTCATTCATCCCATATGACAAATGACTAGATAACAGAACTTAAACACTCAAAACTAAAAGAACCAAGGTGAGGTACAGCCCTAGGGTAGCACATTTTAAAAGACATAGGATATTTACTGTACATTAAGATATACTAAACATTAAAGAGCAACCTTCATTAAGAAACATGTTCAAACACACACACTTTGCAACATCACTATAGTATTCAATAAATGCACTCACCAAGAACTTTATCAGGAACACCTGTACACCTACTCAGTCATGCAATTATCTATTCAGCCAGTTGTGCGGCAGCAGTGCAGAGCATAAAATAATGCAGGTACAGGCCAGCAGCTTCAGGTAATGTTTAAATCAACCATCAGAAAGGGGTAAAATGTGATTTCAGTGATTTTGACCATGGCATGACTGTTTGTGCCAGACGGGCTGGTCTGAGTATCAGACACAACAGTCTCTAGAGTTCACTCAAAATGGTGCAATAAAGAAAAAACACCCATTGGCAGTTCTGTGGACAGAAATGCCTTGTTGATGAGAGAGGTCAACGGAGAATGGCCAGACTGGGTCAAGCTGACAGAAAGGCTACAGTAACTCAGATAAACACTCTGTACAATTGTGGTGAGCAAAAAAGCATCTCAGAACGCACATGTCGATTGGGCTACAACAACAGAAGACCACGTCTGAGTCCACTTCTGTCAGCCAAAAACAGAAAGCTGAGGCTGCAGCTCACCAAAACTAGACAGTTGAAGACTGGAAAAAATAGCATGGTCTGATGACTCTTGATTTCTGCTGAGGCACACAGGTGGTAGGGTCAGAATTTGGTGCCGACAGCATGAATCCATGTGTCCAAGCTGGTGGATGTTGATGTCATGAATGTTTTCTTTGCATGCTTTGGACCCGTTAATACCAATCGATCATTGCTTGAATGGCACTGCCTATTTCAGTATTGTTGCTGACCATGCACACCCCTTCACGGCCACAAATTTTCAATCTTTTAATTGCTAGTTTCCAATATCTTAGGGAATCCATGCCCTGAAGAACTGAGCAAAGTGAGGCTCTACCCAGTATAACGTTCTTAATAACGTGCTCAGTGAGTGTATTTATCTGATCTATAAAACTAATATCTACACAATCATCAGTAAGTCATTTTCAGAGAGGAGAATTCACACAGTACTGTGCAAAAGTCAGTAACCACCATTTTATTTATTGGCTTTCCAGTCAAACAGGCCATAAAGTACAAGTTATTCATTGTACAACGTCAGAAAAGTGACAGAACATTGCACATAAGCCTCAACAACTTAATTTAATATAAATTTGTTTCAATGTTTAGTGTGTCCACTCTTAGACTTTATTACAGGTTCCATTCTTTTCAGGAGACTTGCTTTCCATTTTTCAAAGAAATCTGCAGGGATATTATCGCACACCTACAAAGTTTAGCCTTAGAACTTTCTGCTTCTCACGATCCACATAATCCCAATTATAAATTTAGACCCATCGGTCCAAAAACCACACTCAGATGTCCAGCTTTGGTGTTCTAGTGCAAATTTTACACTCACAGTGTTAATTGTCTTGTCACAGTGGAAGGATGAACAGAAACACCTGTGGATTTTTTCAGATCTGAAGCAAAAGTGGAGCTTGATTTACACCTATCTCTCAAAGATGAAAGCTTTAAGTACTTTTATCTGATGTTAGTTTTGATGGTCTACCAGGCCACACATGGTTGTTAGGAATCACGTTTTCAATTAAAGTCATTCCGTTGATTTTCCCCTTCCTTACGTCAGTGGAGTATCTCATATTATATACCATTATGAACTTAAACACCATTTTAGATGCACATGAGGCTGTAAAATGCATGCGAAACACACTGGTTTGCTGGTTTGTTAAATGGTTTCACTTACTCTCTCTCTCTCTCACACACGCACACACACACAAATGCGCACGTGATTAAACCTTCAAAGTTGTGAATCAGAAAAGTATGATGAGTGACTGGGGGATTATTATTGCAGTGACTCTGCTGTCTGGGAAAAGGACTCAAACTCTTTGATCTTCTGCTTCTTTTATCCAGAAGCTCCTAATTAGTCTGAAATGCTTGTTTTGGTTTTATGTGCCTAAAAGTCTCTAAGTGAAATAAGGAGCCCAAACCAAAATATTCATATTACACACATACACGACTATAATGTATTCCAAATGGTATCTCAAACACATACACACACACTTTCAAACAAGCACAAACATATAGCAAAAACATAATGTCAACACTTGAGGACATTTTCATGACACACTATATACATACACAATATTTCATTTATTACTTTTAAAAAATGTAGTACCCCCTTTTCAAAAATACTCACAATATTCAAATATACTCAGAAATACCCTATATACTAATCCGGAAAAGCACAATACTATTATGACACAATAAAATATTGTCATGTTGCCATCCTATCGCACACATGTACGAATATACAAATGTACAAACACTTGACCTATATCCTTCAAAATTAATCTAAGATCATTCTCATATAGCCCAAAATCTTCCAGATCATGAAATCGTCTTGCCTTTTAATGTAGTTTATTTTATCTGAATGAATTTGTTCTATAAATGAGCCCTTTCATAGTAACATAACATAATGACAAGAGGTAACCAAAGAGAAAAGTTAATGGAACAGTCAGGAACCTAAAGCTACTAAGTTCAATGCTTTCAACACAGGCCCAAATCCTACATCACCACTTTATTTTAAGTTACAAAAACAGACATACACGATTAAGTAATATCACACTGAATTTACAATTCAAAAAATGATCTTTAGCTGTCTTTGTGGTAAACCCATTCCAAAAAGAAATCTGTCTTTATGCAATGTTTTAACTACTAGTCAATGTCTGTCTGCTTTCAATAACTCCCTAATTACTGCTTAATATTTGTTTCACATTAAGAACTTAATGGAAATGCACATTATTATTTATAGAGCTTTAATAAAAAAACCTTAGCAAAAAAGCTCCACCTTTCCCTCTCGCTCTCTCTCTGCGTTTCACATTCCGAGAGGCTCTCTCACACCTGCGGTTTCAGCGTGATTTGCTGAGGGGTGCGTCTCACACACACACATACACCTAGGGTCAAGGGCTCATCTCCGCTCATTACTGTACACACTGACATCCCTCGCTCTGGCCCTGACATGACATGACAAGCAGTGCTGAGTGTGTGTGTGTGTGTGTGTGTGTGTGTGTCCACGTGTGCATGTGATCAGTCAAAAAACCCTCTGCTACTTTTGACTTTATGTGAAAGGTCATCCATCAGTAACATAAATAATGAATTCCTATGTTACTGTACAAACTGTTCTAGCTGTCCTAGCTTGCAGCATGCATGAAATATTAAAAGGTCAATATGCCACTTTTTTCTGTATAAACTATAAATAAAGCAAATATGGAATGTTAGAAAGTGGTGGGCAACATAACAACACATTATCATGGTAAATGAAGTCAGGATACACTTTTCTGAGTGTACTGTGGGTGTCATCAGTACATTAAGAACGGAGATTTTCAATCATCAGGCTATAGATTGTTCGGTCTCGGGCTGCAACAATGCAGCAATGAGCCAGGAGCTAGTGTAATATTCTGTCATTTTTAACATCACATTTCTGTATGGCCTTGTGCAAGCATGTTGCCACTGGCTGATGTCATTTAATAAGAAACTGACAATATTAACCTCCTAATGCAGGTCTCATGATGCAAAAACTAAATGACCTCCAAAACAGGCAGAAATTGCATTTTTTGGCTACTGTGGGCTAACAAACTTTTTAACATTTTACAGCAATATAAAATACAGATTCATTGCCACTGGGAATGCAAATGTGCCAGATCCACTGTGTGTGGTCTGAAGGCATTTGAAGCTGTCTAATTACTTTGTCATTTGGAGACAAAACATTCTTAAATAACAGCAAAACATCCTCCCAAAAAAGTTGAGAACCCCAGATCTACAAACAGAACAACTGCATGTATGATAAAAAAACTCAATTATTAATTTAAGCAAATTATAGAGAGCCTGTTAATAACAACAACAATCAATGTAAATAGTTTAAAACACATTTCCTAAATCATTTATTTTTGCAAACATTAGATTGGAACAATTGATTTGCTTAAACTTTTTTAAATGTGGAGCTTTTAGCATGTCCTACTTGCTCTTGATCATAGTGTGATATGTATCATGCATCGTGAAAATGCATTAAGGCTATTTTGCCCATCCTTGTTATCAAGAGCAGTGACCTGAAACAATTCTTTTCTGGGCTTCCTAGAACAACATTTTTTCCACTCCCTTTTTACATCACCCCTAGGTTTACTGTGGTAAAGTGTATGTGTCAGGTTTTGTGTTTTTAGCTTGAAACTGAAGCCAAGTCAATAAAAGGGTGAAGCAGCAAAGCAACATAATGAGGGAGGAAGTTCCATCTTGAAAATTATAGGAAGAGGCATATGAAAGAGAATCGACAGAGAGGAGCTATTCATATAAAAAGTAGGAGAGACAAAGATAACAGAGAAAGAGAATCTGGAAAGAATCCAGTATAAGAAACAGTAATCAAGACTCAGCTAAGTAAGAAAGATTGGTCAGGAGCCAATTCGAGTTTGGTACAAGTCTGGGATGGAAAATGGATATGAAAGTGAGGCTGTGTATACGTTAGAAGAGGGATAAGTTACACAGTAACTAAATGAAAGATAGAGTTGAAGTCAGTCAGGTCTATGAGAAGGTGGAAGGACTGAAAAAAGTAGGAGTGAGTGGAGAAACAGAAATGAGTATAGGCTAATCCTAGTCATAGAGAACAGATGGAGAATACAGTGCCTGCAATATT